TCGCAAAACGCATTCCGATTATAAACTATTATTAAATGCTCTCATTGTTTATTTGCTTTTGTGTATCATATGTAGATATATAGACACCTAATTATGCTTTATACATATATTATATGAACTGAACTAAGTTAATGGATTCATAGCTGCCATTGTTTAAAACGACCAACATGTTACTAACGTTGTGACTCGTGATGTCTTGTTATTATTTTACCTGCAACTTCACTCTGTGACCGAGTTAAATGTTGACCACAAGAAAATAACTTTATGTATATATACTTATATTTTATATTATTTAAATATATATTTAATTAAATATATGTTTAAAGAACGTTATTGTTTTATAACTACACCTTTATCGGCAATTTCATTCATATGACCAGGATATTGATTGACCTGATTAAATAGCTGTCATAAATGCTGCCAAGATAATAATCTTGGCACCATTCATTTAAGTCTTAGAAAGCTGCTAAGAAAGGATTTTTGAAAACAAAGATACGTATAACAACTATGTATTACACCTTCTAAATAAATTAGTAAACTGAATAGTAGTCGCTTAAATGAACATAATGTAATATCACGTTGCGATGTACCTATGTAAATGTATATGTATACATAACCACCCTCACAGTGTAGTGATAAATATTTAATACACGTAATATGGAAATTGACGGTAGGACGGCCTGCACACGACACGAACATTGTGAACAATATCGGACCAATGGTGTCCTAGATAAATTCCTAGATCCCATCCTCTCATTTGTAGCAAAATCAGAGCCGATTATAGTGTGCCCAACGAGTCCTTTTTATCTCCACCATTATTGAATTTTAGTGTCATGTGTAGATGTTATTGTTCAAATTACCCTATAGACAGTATACCTGATTAATACCAATTAATTATAAAATTTCTAAATTTATTTTCAGTTTTTAATTTTAATATAGTTTAAATAATTCAGATAGAATTTCACTAATCCTGTTTGACATAACATTTCAAATTTATTTTCTTAAACAACTTAAATATCAATATAAAGTAATTAGCATTATCGATTGAAACATTTATCTTTTACACATACATATCTAGTTACCAAATCGAAATAAACCAAACACAATGTTTTTCTTTTATATAGTATCATAGTGGCTTAGACTTTTAAACAGTCAACCAATTAATTTAGTAAACCTTCGAACGCAAAATAAAATATTTTGCAGATCGAAAATATTAGAAACCTTACATCATGCGCAATAAATATTAAATTCCTTTGACAAAGCAAGCACCTGTACCGTAATATGATAAAGTTAACAGCAAATAACCTATCCAATTTATTGAACAAGCAAAAACATGACCTCCTGAAGTGAGTGAGGAACACGTGTTAGACTCACAGAGATGAGTTCTGCAGAGACCTTGACCTTGACAACAAAATCTCTGTAAATTACTCGCCGCAGCTAGTTTGTGTGACTATAACGTGGCCTTGATTGATGCGAAATAATATTGCGAATAATAATTAGATAGGTGTCTATTATTTAGATGTTTTGTATCATGCAATTCTCTACAGCATATATATGTTATGTAACACTGGCAGCATTTGACTTAGGGTCACAGGTTACTCTTTAAAATATGTAAAATTGTCTTTTACGTAGTTGCATAAACAATTTTTGATCTTTCTTTTTTGTATCAATTTATTTTATCTTAAACCTAAGTAGAGTAGGTATAAAGAAAGGAAATATTATTTTTATCCCTAACCTAAGAGTGGTAGAGTGATAATAATACAAAGTACATATTACCCCGTGATAATAATGAGTAATCGTGTATTTCCAGTAAATTGAGATAGAGATTGCGATTAGAAAGAAGGTTAAGTAACACATCACAGAAAAGTACCTTGCTTGCCACTTGTTAGTTCGAAAGAAAAATTAACAGCATTTATCTCGTTTTACATTATTGTACAAATAGTAGAATTCAGCAAACTTGTCTTGTAATAGCACTGTGTTTATTTTCTTAGATCATTACGTTTTTATTTTAGACCCCATAATGTATTGTAAGTTGAATTATAGGAAATGTAAAATATTTTATAAATATCAAATTTTGGAATGTAATCACCGGAAATAATTTGCAATTAATTCATGGAATAGTAAATATTCGTTGAAACAGCATCTAAAACATAAATGAAAATTGAATTAGGTACTTTCAACCAAAATATCAGAAGCGCAGAGCATTTGTTGATTGCACTCCGCCACGGCCAAGTGAAAACCGTACGTTATTGAGCACTTAACTGATATTTTACTACCGTTATATTGCGGTTACATAACCGTTACACCATATCGAGACAGTTTATTTGCTTATCATCGATGTGACACGACCTATGTATAATGACAATTTTTGTATACATAAACCATAAGTGCGAAACATTCACGATTAATTTTTATAATGTTTTCTTGAGACTTCTTTCAATTTGGAGTATTGTTAAAATCCATGTACCTCCGCTTGATAATGTCCATTGACAATTAACTGTCAGGTAACAAAAAATATCTGTATAAATACAGTATTGTTTTCCTACGTGCATGGTGTGTTGCGGGATTTAAGAATACAATGATAGAATGGCAGTGAAATTATTGAATTTACATGGAATTACAACATTCTAGTCATCAGGAACCGTAAAGCAGAAAAAAGAAATAGCGTTGATGTGACAGTCTGATCTGTACTGTTAGTAACATGGGTTATTATAAGCCCATTAAATAAATGGATTGTTCTAAAAAAGTTCTTGTACAGTTCTAAAACAAATCATAAGTAATTACAATATTAGGCTTCTTTTAAACACACAGAATGTTTCAAATACTTACACGTGTATCAGCAAAATGTTTTACATCCTTATCGTAAAGTTTACTGTCACAAATTCTTTAACCGGTTGGGATCCACCAGTCGAAAGTTCTTAACTGCGCGCGCGCAGGTTCGCACCGCGTGTTTTCGCTTTCACGGGCCGTTGCCCCCTTGATAGCCTCGGCACACTTTGATCCACTGGGTCAAGGTCTGACGCGTCTGGAATTTGATGGGATGTAGGCTACTATATCACAATTATGGATCCAAAATTTAATTTTGATCAGTCTCTAATAAGGTTAATCAAATATACATTAAAAACACTACGTTAATAACGGCAATGTATCCACATATCTGCAATCATTAATTTTTATTAATATCCATGCAGTTTATTTATGAATACAGCCAAACCAAAGTAAGCATAAGCAGCGATGACACTGCTGATAACACTAATACAAATATAGATCATCGACCCTCCTTATCTAGCCTTATCGCTCATGCACTTGGCAAAGAAAGTACCTGTTATCCCTTTTCGTGAGATAACTTTAGAAAACTTTATGGAGTTGATTGCTGTTATTAAATTGTGGGTAGTTTGCCAATATTCATTATTGGGAGGAAAAGATTGTTAATAAATGGGGAATAGTAATTTTTTTGCTAACAATTTCAACCGCCACGCCACTTTGTTACCCCATAAACCCATCGTGAATAAATCTTCTTATTTTGAGACGCTAGGGAGACGCTAGTAGGCTAGCTTATTTGATTCCTCCTCAACTCGAGTCAAGCAAATACTACTGATTGAAAAATAGTGTTAACGCTTGTGCAGGACAAGCGTTAACATTATTTTTAAATCATCCAAAAGAAAAACATAGAAGTCTGTTCCGCTTATAATAAGTGATTAAGCTCTTAAAAAAGTAGAATTACGACCGACCAGTGGAATTCAAATTTTTTTGTTTTACTAATTTGAAAGTAAATAGAAATAGAAAATCATTTATTCAAATAAACTTAATTTAAGCACTTAAACTTAACTTAATTTCATCACAAGAAGAATAAGCTAGAAACTTGTGTGTTGCTCTTTTAAACAATCCTTATAAGTTCACATTTTACAAGTCGAAACGTGTGAATACAAACTACCAACCAGCACTAATTTATTTAGGCTCAAATATAAAAACACAATAAGATTAAATCAGTCGTAGTGATAAGAGCAGACCAGTCCCTACAAGCAGCACTCGTTCACGAGTATGACGGATGAGCCAGCCATCACTGCGCTCGACCATATTTTAGGGAGCCCAATGACCCGGCCCACCACGCCGCCACATGTCTGGACTCATTCCACTCGACCACGTCACAGCTACAAAAATTACTGTACGGTAGTTACAGTATTCGCACTTTACATGAGGATGCATGTGGCAATCAATACAAAAGCCGCTACGCTATCATATATCAAGAAAGCAGTATGAAAAATAAATTATAACGTTGTCCGCAAATAAACTTATACTTGCTATATATTGCTATCATCTATAAATTCATCTATCCTATAATAGGCTTTTTTACATAACATTTGTTTAATATAAAGTTTGAATTGCCTCTCTGTCAGATTTAGCGTAGATTCTGGCAGTTTATTATAGAATCTTACGCAATTACCATAAAATAATGGTGTTCACTTTTGGTGGTGTAAAATTATGGTGTTCACTTTTTTTTATAACTATAATGTAAACTTACTGCCTGATGGTAAGCATCCAATGAACCGAATTTGCAATTAAGTAATACGTAATATTATGACTACCCAAAAAAATATTGTAACAACAATGAGTTTCATCTAAAATGTCATTAAATAATTATATATGTCTATACCTTAATTATGTCTTAATGTACTACGTATTAATAATGTATATATTTGTTGTTTATTATATAATTATTCAATTAGTAACTCCTGTCCATAATTTAGATTGTACTGCTTTTGTCTTCATATCTACATGTATGACTAGGCAAAGATTTATAGACATACACTTATAAATTCGGTTACTGTTCTCATCTACTTGCCTCGATAACGATTTACTTGTTGTTATAGTTTGTACAAAAAGGTGCGAAAATACCATATTATATATAGCACTATGCAGTAAGTCACAACCAACTGGAATATATTTCATAATTTCCCGTATAATAAATGTTATACCTACTGTTGTTTAATTTTTTCCAGATAGTGAAGCATGCATGAACAGGACGACGAAGGTAAGCCGGCGCATCACGCGCGTCGGCCCATGAATGCCTTTCTTATATTCTGCAAACGTCACAGGAGTGTCGTGCGCGATAAATATCCTAGTCTAGAAAACAGGTAAGATGTCTAACTTTTTAGTTCTTTTCGTATTTTATTGAAATTAATAGTAATAACCCAGGACATTCATACGGCCCGATTTAGTCACAAGCTTAGTGGAGTTTGTGTTATGAGTACTTAACTACTGATACAAATACATATATATTTTTACAACACAAATAACCATACTCATATATACAACTATTTGTACCATGTCTAGAATCGAACCCGCAATGATTGGTATTAGGGCGATGTGCTAAACTCACCGAGGCCTTTATAAGATTTTTATTCTTAACAGTTTAAATTTGTGAAAAATTTGTTACAGATCTATCACAAAAATATTGGGAGAATGGTGGGCTAACTTGGACGAGGAAGAGAAATCTTGTTATACAGGTCTTGCTAAACAGGTAGATTATTTTTTTATTTCATTTCTGCATTCGTTAACGAAAAGTTTATTATGTTCAGTTCATTTACTTATATAGGTGACAGTTACCACTAAACATCTGGTAGACCATAATCTTGATTGCCATTTCAATTACATAAAAATAATAAAATGACCACCCTACTGGGCATTTGGGTATTGTTTGCAAACCTGTGCTAACCCTTCTAAACAAATATTAAATGTTTAATTATATTAATTTCAGTACAAAGACGCCTTCTTCAGTGCCAATCCGAACTTTAAATGGTATAAGTTACCCGCACCACCTCTCCGCACTCTTTCTTCACGGCCGAGAGAATCAAACGACAAGCAAAATGAGTTTCCCAACAGTGACTATCACGAAAGTGAACTTGAAAAAACAAACAACAACTCCACTAAAGTTGATTTAAATAAGAAAGACAATGACCATGCATACGCAGATATTCATAAACCTTTATCAATGTTTACACCTGGCAAATTAGCAGACGAAGCCCAAATGGGAGGCTTAAGTAGTCTCCTGGCCACTAAGACTGAAACCCAAACTTCAAACCCTTATTACTCGCCTCCCTGCCTTAAATATAATGCGATCTCAATCCCAAACGAATACAGATCTCATAGCATATTAGAAAGATCAAAAGTTAGGGGTCTCTCTAAAGAAGACAGTATACGTGAACTTCAGAATGCACTTACTGAAACGAGTAAGATATTTGAAGAAGATTTTGATGAAGAAAAAGGGAGAATATACCGCTACAGTGGTATTCCAAGCGATCAGTTTACTAACCAAGATGTGATAGACCAAATAGTTGATAAGAGATATTCTAAAGATGATGATGGATATTTGAGGAACTGGTCGGACGACGAGAGGAATCCTAGATCTGGAAGGTCTTGTAAAGGAAAAAGATACCAGGAGTTTATGGCTGTTGGAGGACTGATAGTAAATAAGAGACAGAAAAGGGAGAATTCAGATAAAATATTAGACGAAGACTACAGTGCGTCCTGCAGTTGGGAAACTGGTATTTCACGTAGCGAAGAATCAACTGTTGCCGACGATTCGAAACAAGACGATTCAATAAACGAGGCGTCCGTTGAAAACGAAATCAAGAACGATATTACTGACGCACCAGAATCAGACAATAACACAAACAAAACATTCAAGGCTGCCGACTTCGATTTAGATGCTAAAATTAGAGCTTTACCCTCACTTAGTTTAGAAAAATTTCAACAGAAGAAGCGGGAAAATAAACGCAAAAAGAAAACTATTAATCTGAAACCAAAAGTTCTCGAAACCGATCGTATTATCAATTCAGTTCCCAGACCAATTGTAGATGAAAAACGGAATATCGAACGGGAACATTGGCGAGAACAAATCGTCGGTAGTCAAAAACGAAAGCCAAGAAAAGTTAGCATTACAAGACTGGATTTCAACTCAATGGTTTCTAGCGTGGATTTCAGAGAAGTCCATAAAATAAGTCCCGACATCAAAATAGCCACCGAAGCCCCTCCTACAGTCGTTCAAAATATGGAGATATGTAAACAGCCTCCTTGTCATGTGGACTTACTGGCACTGGCAACATTGGCCGAAGTGGCGGCTAACAAGTCCAAAATTGAAGGTTCATCAATTACGGAGACCATAACCGCCAAAGCGAGCGATGAAAACGCTTCCAAGGTATAAAATACCTACATAACTAGCCTTAAAAGATATTCCAAAAATTATTTACTTTATAATCAGATATTTATATTATATATATATATATATTATAGCTCTACTTTTACATAGTATGCATAAAGATTATTATTGTACACTTAATTGTAGGTTTTATAACATAGAAATAGATTTTATTTATATGAAAATAGAGATATATGTATACTTATTTTAGTTTGTCGATAATAGGCTGCTACATTCTGCTTCGATAGTGTTAGAGAAATATATGTGACCTAATGTTAACATCACACAAATAACATCAAGGCATAATGTAATTTACGTGTATAAAATACAAAAGATAATTTACATTTGGACCCATAATAATTTTCATTTCTAAAGATTTTGAACATGTACCATCACAAAGAAGGTATTGTTATGAAATGTCAAACATGAGTCATAATTTATGTAAAATTTTTAACCTCATTTTGTATAAGGATAGTTTATTTAATCGCCTTAATACTTAGATTAAAAATCAGAACCAAGACACCATGTGCATAGACTGCATTGCATTTTTAAGGTGATTTGTTTTGTTCTTATTACATAGCGTGTTAGTATACAATTATCTTTTGTATGTACGTTTTATATATATCGTGACATTCGTCACTTGTTTGGTACCTTAAGTTCACACAACAACACTATTTAATGGGTTATTTTACCAATTTTAAATGTATGATTTAATTTAACAGTAGCTACCTAGTGCCTTTATGGCGGAAATGAAGTGTTTTTGTGTGTAACTACGAATTTATAGGTAATTAATTGATAAAACAAAATGTTCAGAAAATTGTTATTAATTTACGCAAAATAAAAATATTCTTTATAGATGTTAGATAACAGAGGCAATTATATATAAAAATACAACCTTGTGAAACTCGTAATTCGTTATGAATGATAATCCCTCCAGTAATTCGGTTGGGATATTGTCAATTTTATAATTTAGTTATTGATTTTAGTAATTGCTTATCATGTTCACTGTCATATATAAATGTTTTTCAAAGTTTTAACAAAGCATATGCTTTTTTATTTAGTGTAATTAATTGTTCACTATTTGGATTATGGAATAATAATCTTGTCCCCATTAGGTACCTGAGATTAAATTATTTTTGGTCTTGTCCACACCATACAGTCATAAAATCGGTAAAAAATAAAAAAAAGTAATCACTTCAGTTACACCATATTCATATATGTGTTGTTTTTGGAACAGTGTTTCTCAAATATTGTTTTTATTTATTTGTGATGAATTTTAAGGATTTCTGTGATTTTATTCTATCTCCTATTGTAAGGTACATGATGGTAAAGCTTTCGTTGCAGGTCTAGTCTAGAGTTAGTGTTAAAATAAAATGATACAAGTACTAAATTCGAAAGTGCACTTATATATTTTATAATCACAAATGATGACACAAGCCATAATGTGACATGCTCATCCAAAGACCAAATGTATTTAGATTAGGGAAGCTAGGCTGTAGATATTGATATGTAATATTTAAGATTTAGTATGTATATATAACACGGGCTATTGTTATCGCATTCCATGAAGTCGAAATTGTAAAAAAATATGTTAATACAATTTTGTTGCTTATTTGTTTTAAAATTTGTTCTATACAACAAAGATTTTAATGAAATTGTTAATTGTTTTTATAAAAAAAGATTTATTATCGTTACGTTTTTAATAGGTACATGTGGTGAGCTTTTGGCGGTTCCTAAATCATGAACTGATGAGCTGTACTGGCCTTTGTAATATCACTGCAATTATTAATAACCTTATCAGAAATATTTTTTGCCTTGTTGATAAAAAAGCCTTATATTATTCACTTTAGATTAAGAAAACTATAAAAGGGGGCCAGAATGTCTGGAAGAGATAACGAATATGTCAAACGAATTGCAGGCGCATTATTGGGCCTTTAAAAATGAGAATGGATTTTATTAGGTTTACTTGATTGTACTGCGGTACACTTGATTTTTACAATGTTTTTAAACCTATAAAATCTATTATCAGTAAATTATGGTGCTGGAAGATCTGTATTGTTATAAGAATGTTTACCATTGCTACTGTTACTTCTTTCCTAGCAATGGACGGTAGTCAATATAAATATCATAAAATAAATATTAAATATAAGCTATCGGTATCTTTTTGTGCTGTGAAATTATATACATAGGAAAAGTTTGGTTTTCAATATACCTATTACTTTACAGCACAAATGGATAAATATATTTATTTATATGGGTAGGATGAAATATACGCCGTTTGAGAAACACTGGTCTTCTATATTAATTAGGGCATAATAAGTCGGCACCCAAAGTGTTTACCTATTTGTTTCCAAAGTATATTGTTGAATGTTTTGTTATATACGAGCGCGGTTTTAATCAATATCCTTTTATTGTAGAAATAAAGTTTATTCTTAGGAAAATTGTTTTTCTAATATTCAACAAATCCTCCTTTCCTCATGGGCCTCGAACCAGGAACAACTTAAGATGACCAATTTCTTCTTGAAGACTTCCTGCAGTCCAAAACTTCTAAGATGGTTATAATAGTTGTGTTATGAAAGCTTAGTGAAAGTCAATTACGGTCAATTATGGAGGAGCAACTCAATATATAGGTCTATGATTTGATAGTAATTTAAACCGGAAAATGACTTATTTTTTTAAACGTAGAAAAGGTACTGCGCTTCTGTCTACTGTCGTAGCGCGGCAGGTAGGTTCCATTATGCTTAACACAACATTCATAACCATGAAGTTTTTGACCGGGAGGAAATAATTAACGAAAAAGCTTTTGGCTCGCGGACTATCAAGTCCGGCTATAATAATTACTATTTAGTATATATTACATATCTTTAAGAATTAATATTTCAAAATTTAGGAAACTGCTGAGCATGCCAGTAGTCCTCAAAGGAATTGAAATCGTTTCTTCCTGCAAATTATGCATAGCGCAACGTACACCAACCTTTTTCAGTCACCATTACCATCCATAAAAAAAACTTACCTAGGAAATCAAGTAATTACGCAATAATAAAAAAAGCGCTACTTGGTCGCTTTTTTTACTATTAAGTTTTTTTATTCTTCTGGATCCGGACATTTGTATTGCTGTAAGCCATTTTCTAGTATTTTTATAAAAGGTGGATTACACGTCTATACGTATAAATAAAATTGGAGAGTCTGTTTGTAATATTGAAATAACCGTTTTTTAGTACATGCATATGAATATAAATACAAACACCGAAAAACCATTTTTTAAAATTTTTGTCTGTTCCGGGTAATCTCTGAAATGGCTGAACCCATTTTGACGCGACTTTTTTTGGCAGGTAGCTGATGTAATAAGGAGTAATTTAGGCTACCTTTATTGTAGAAAAATACTTTTATTTTAGAAAAATAAAGTTAAATTCCATACGGACGAAGTCGCGGGTACAGTTAGTAATAATATAAAATTGGGAAAATATGTTTCTTCTGTAGGTATCTATCTATAGAAAAACATATATTCCCAATTATTAATATGATATTATAAATAAGTATAATATGTTGTTAGTAAAGTGGAATTAGCAAGGTACCATGTCCAGAGTAAGGTTGCCCATTGTAGTAAATTGCCATTTGCCAGGATGAGCTAACTTAACTGATTATATAACTTAACTTTATTCTCATTTTATCATCTTTTACTGGTGACCTCAGCCTTATCATCATTAATAAAAAAAGGCCACATAAAAGTTCCTCATCAAAAAACCACAAAAATAATATAGCAAAAGCATTAAACCTTAGGTCTCTTGACATATATTCTGTTAAAGATTTTATATCACTTGCAGGTCTATTATAGAGAGTGACAATTACATTCGATCAATATTCAGGATATAATAAATATCCTAAATAGACCGATATCTAAATATCCGATAAATAGACCTGCAAGTGATATAAAATCTTTAACAGAAGAAGCTTTCTCTCAAATAGGGATGAATGGCAAAAATCTTGTCAACAAGTAATAAAAATTGTAAATCAGTTCACAGAACAAAATCGATTAACTGAGATGCAGGAGGAAAGGTTTATCATAAATACTACGTCTTCCTCCTTCCATGAAGACTTTTGTATGGATGTACAGTATTTGGAACCATCAAGTTCTTGATAACTTATAATAAATTAATAAACTCATGAACAGAGTAATTGGAGTTTTCATCTAAATTTGGAACCCCATAGTAATTTTCAAAAATTATACTTATCATTGGATAAATTTTTATATTTGCTTTATTTATATATTTTTATATTATATGTATCACACAAAAATTTAGCTATAAAGAAAAAAAAGTATCGAAACGTTTTATTCCAATTTCTCCAGTATTGCTAGTGTTAATTTTTTCCTTTTCCAGTAGACCTATAGTATTAAAATTTGGGTATCAATCGTAGACAGAGAAAACAGTATCAATATCATTCAGCCACAGATACAGAATTATTTTCTCTGTCTACACAGAGCACTTTTGACGTCAATTTCGAGAATTATCACAGAGTATATAGACAAAAGAAACAATATTATTATTTTTCAAATTTATTCCACCGGTTGAATAAATTTTGTTAGAATATTTGGAAAGGCATTAGCAAATTAGCACTACTAAATCAGTTTTTGTGCTTATGAGCGTGCGTTGATTCGCATATTGTTTCAAATCTGGATGAGAAAACAATGATTGCCGCCTCCGAACCTCTGGTATGTTTTAGTTATGAAATTGTTAACACTTTTGTATATCTATTAAACATTTTTTTTAAATTAAGGTAGCCACGAATTGTCTATCTTATTTCTAATTTTGAATCTCAGAATCTATAACATATTTTCTGCAAGGGAAACCAAGAACTATTTGCATGTACTATACCTACAAAATAACTACATATTCCATTATGTTTTAGGAGTTTGTGCCACACGGCAGGACAGTGGTAACGAAACACCCTGGCAAAATTTACAACAAAGGTCACAATAATTCTATCTCTGAAAATTCACTATTATACAAGTTAACTAACTTTGCTATAAAAGATGAGAGTCTATTGGAAGTGAAGGAGGCAGAGGACAGGGAATGGTGGACTGTCAGAGAAGTGTATTCCAGGGATGAACAGGGTAAGTCTATAAGAATTTTATGCCATCATTTCAGGATTGTGGAATTCTTTACACCCAAAAAGCCACATGGTATACCTCAAGGTGCCAGAAGCATTTGGGTCATATTAATATACTGTCATGATACTAACAAAATCAGAGGTAGGCAACACTGGTGGTGTCTCGAGCTAGAGAAATACCGCGGGAAGTTGAAGAAAACTTTCAATGTAGCTATAAATAATAGATCACAAAGTGACTGGGATAAATACACAACTTCGAGAAACCAATATAAAAAACTAATTCACCAAAGACAACAGGAATGTTGGAGGCAATTCTACATAAATATGGAAAACAACAACCAAGCAGTCAAGGTAAAAGCGTGTCTCTCCAAAGAGAAAGATCACACAATAGGATTGCCGCTCCGTGTGACAGAACTCAAACATATCATTCATTTAACAGAAAATACCAGATACAAATGAATCAGGAGGAACAAGACCAATCTGCAGTAAATGAACTATGCATATACACAGATGGCTCCAAAACACAAAACGGTTCAGGAGTTGAAGCCCTTGACCTCAACATGAATTTATACATACCTCTCGGTACACACAGTTCGATTTTCCAACGTGAATGCTTTGCCCTGACTGAGGCAGCGCGAACAGTGCAAAGGTTAGGTGTCAACAACTTCAACATAAAATTTATATCAGACAGTGCAGCCGTGCTAAAAGCACTACAGAACAGGAAATCGACCAACAGATTAATAATCGAATATCACAATATCATGGATAAAGTTGCAGAGCCAGTGGATAAAAGGGCATAGTGCATGAGAGAGGATCAGGCATGACGGTAGCAGGCCCCCTCCCGCTCTTGCCAATACCATTCTCACAATTTTGATCCTGCATTCGCCAAAGACTGAGATACAAAACCAAAGATGGAAACAAACCACTGATTGCAAACAAAAGTGGCAATTCCTAGAACTAATCAATGAATGACAAAACGCCTACTAAATCTGGACAGGCACAACATTAAAATAATGATAGGGATAATGTCGGGCCACTGTCCCTTAAACAAACATCTGTACAATATAGGTGCTACAGACAGTACCCTATGCCGGGGCTGCTTTGTAGCCGAGGAAACGGCCGCTCACGTAATCCTGGAGTGCATAGCAGTGACCACACAACGAAATCAAATCCTCGGAACGGTGAGGTCGCTCCGTGAAGCCTGCGAAGACACCAGGAGACTTCTGCGCTTCTGGGAGGAGTTTGGCGGGCTACGTTAGTAGCCTGGCTCTACACGCACAATGGCCCAAATGAGAGGCCAATTGCGGAAAATGTAGTCCAACCTACAATACAATACAGATACTAACAGCAAGCTGCTTTACATCATCTAGATTGAGCCAATCTAGATGATGTAAAGCAGAATTCCTTCCTGGTACACTTATTGTCTTATAAATATAAATATTGAAATGTATAGAATAGAATTGAATTTAAAATCATTTACACAAATAAACTTACTTTGAAGCACTTTTCATCACATTTATTTTTCAATCTACTGCTCATTCTAAAAAACTGTCTCATCACAGGAAGAAGGAAAGAGAATTTTGTATGTTGCTCTTTTAAATAATTTTGTATTATGTAAGAAATTATGGATTATTTAAATATTTTATTTTTAATTAATTTGTGAGGAAGATTTTCTTTGATTCCACACATTGTAAGCATAAAACAAACTCTTGTCTCATTACTCATTATTGCTAATTAAAACTATTGAACTCATAAACAGTTTCTTTGCATGCAGAAGGTGGGAAGTAAATGTATAGACAATATTGGTTTTTATTCATTTTCTGTAATGCTAGTAAGCAAGTGTAAATTACTTCCATTCCCAATACATTTGGAATATTAATAATTGAAAGATAATTTTAGTTCTATCTAAAATATTTCAGAAATTAATGATGACCCACCCATGTCTTCGAAGGAGAATAAATATGATTATGCATCCGAGTCTTTTCGTCCCCCAAGCCGAGTCAAAAGTGACTTTAATGCATCAATTAAATCTGAGCTTTTGTGTGGTGCCAAGAAAATGGATACAGAATGTTTTAATTCAGCTGGACCATCTAGAGGAAGCAGTGCAAATAGCTCTAGTAATATGTCTAAAAAATTTAATCTAACCTCTGGTCAGTATAAAAGTCCAAACAAAAGGCCCTTAAATTTTAGAACTGATTGCTCTTATGAAGAGGAATTATATGTCAAGGGGTGTACTGCTGTTTGGTCGAAAGGTAATTTTTTTAATATAAATTTTATAGAATCTATATCTATATATATGTATGGTAAAATTCCATAATTTGCTAATTATACATTAGTAAATTATGGAATTTTACCATGTTTTATTTAAATTCAGTACCCAATATTTTGGCAGTGTTACAACCCTCCATGATCATGGGTAAACTGTTGTACTTTTTCCTACATAAGATATTTAAGCTATTAAGCTTTACTACCTTGACATTCTTTATTTAGAATTCATGACCTTTCAGTATAACATTGTGAGTTCAAATTTGGCTTAGTAAGTTTCTGGTGATAAAAAATACTACTTAAAAACAAAATTAATTTGAGAAAGATTTGAGGAGAGTTCATGCCTCCCTTGTTGAATTCAACTATACTCCGTTAAATGTGGATGATAATTGTTGTTACATTATGATCAATTAATAAAATTGAGGAATACCTTAGATTACTCTATCTGGAGCCATATTACACTGGTAGCCCACCAACTACTATAATATGCAGGTGCACCATGTCATAATTATTAGCCAGTATAAAAAAATACAGTAAAATATACACATATACATATTACACCTACATGTTGTTGGTAATCTCAACTGCTCTACTTGTATATGTTGATAGAGCTTCTCCGCAAGATGAATGTATGAGGATTAAATATTTCTAACATGTTCTTAAATTGACAAAACTAATTTTTAAACTATTTTCAGGCCTAATATCCACACCTGCTACAAAACTCTCTGCGTCTGAACACAGAGAAACAATTTGTTGTTATACTTTGGAAAACCCTATAAAACATGCACATTTTTGTAATTTTCATGTAAACATCAATAATACAATGCTAATTGATGCATTAAATTCACAAATAGGGGATATCAAGAAAAACATCAAAATTGAAGATACTACTGAACATATTCAGACTAAAGTAATTTCTACTATTCTCTTAATGGATAACAAATGTATGAGAGTATTTGGAACTGATGGTCGGGAATATATAAACAGTGTACCATTTCAAGTTAAAAAAATATGGCCAATGAAATATGGTGTCTTACTAGAAAAAGAAGCAACACCTTTAATTCAAAATTCTTTATTAGCAAATTCTTTTTTTAAACTGAATGAATCTCATAACAACAGTACATTTTCAAGATCAAAATCAAACTTTCCATTCAACATGAGCGCAAAATTACGTGCGGAATCCATATCAGGTTATGAACATGATGTTCCACTACCTACATGTTTCTCTTTATCCCATCCGTTGGATGAAGTAACTCCTATATTAATGAAGTCATCACATGGTTTGCAATACTACACTGATGGAGATTGGCAAATAATATTTGTGAGTTCAAACCCAAGTATTGTCCTTTTATATGACTGGAAAATAGCTACACACTCTTTGTGGAAAATTCGCAAAGCACTTCGGGAGGAATGTTTGACTATGTGTCCAAATTTAAATTCTACTACAGGAGTATTTAGTCAGTCATGCGATTTTGTGGGTAGTCCAATGCATAGCAATGTGGGACGAAATGCTACGAGTTGGATTACTGGAATTGGGAGTCCTTATCACTCTAAGAGAGGTCCTAGCACACCTACTCACTCCCATTCACGTTTGAATAGTCCAATGGCCAGTATTTTTCATCAGCAAGGTATGTCGCCGCATGCATCTATAGGCCAAGCTTCATCAGTATCAATGATGCCCCATGCTGTGGCTCAAACGCCGCCATCGTTGCCTTTATATCCTGATATATGTTTAGATCATATATGGACTGACAGTCAGTCAATTCGAAGAGATCCTATAGAATCCCAGTCTGATATAAAAACATTTCTGCATACGGATTTAGTTGGACATGATTACTTATGTTGCATGATAAAAGTTAATGGTGTAAGTCGACTTCAGATTATAAGATTACAGAAATCACACTCCCATGGACAGTCGACCAAGAGCAATATCATTGTGGGTTCTATATCATCAGTTTATGCGAAGGACGCGGTTGTGTTAGATAATTTGAAAATGATCGCATTGATTGATGAATCTGGCAATATAATTTTACAGTCAGGAAACAGTTTTGTTGGCAAGGTATGTATGAACTTTTACTGTTGACATGGTCTATATTGTTGCCATTATTCTGTTTCTACATGCACTTCTGCATGTTGGTCTTAAATTTTTTACTACTCGATGGATTTATATTAAATGAAATGGACTTCCGCAAAATAACGCCTAATTCAATTAAATATATTAAGTTTTTTATTTGCCTTGTAAAGATATTATTACAACAATTTCATTTAATTTTATTGTTTTGTAACTAAAATGTTTACAAAGTTGCAACATTTTCAAACAGCTATAATTGACATGGATGGTTTTCAAGTAATTTATGACATACTTAGTTTATTTACTTGGCACAATGTATATTTATGTACTTAATGAATAAAATAGTGACTATATTAACCTATATGTATACTAATACTTGTATAGTAATTTCTAATACAAACTCTTTCTAGGTACATGTTGGCGGCGTATTGGCGCGTCTAATAGACTCTCCTTATACTAAACGTTCTACATTCCAATCGCCATTCCCAAGGCGCAGCAGTTTGTTACCAAGCCGTTGCACTGACGCGAATTTTGACGATTCAGCTTTACATCTCCTATCACCGGTCCCTCACAGTTCTGTTTCGAGGATCGAACAAAAAGAAACTTTAGGTAATATTTGCTATTTTGTTTTCACACGTTATCAAATTTTCTTTCGATATGGTACATCAGCTACAACAATCCTTACTTCCTTATCCTTACCCTTATCCTTACTATCCTTACTCCTTACTAATATTATAAATGCGAAAGTAACTCTGTCTGTCTGTCTGTCTGTCTCGCTTTCACGCCAAAACTACTGAACCGATTTAAATGAAATTTGGTACACAGATAGTCTAGACCCTGAGAAAGGACATAGGCTACTTTTTAATGCGAAAAAAGGGTTGTAAGGGGTTGAAATTGGGGATGAAAAATTGTATGGAAGAATCGTCATTTTTGAAGGTAGAAGCTTGAAACTTATTTTTGAGGCTGCTAATTAAATATAAATAAATATGACATACAAAGTTTTTAAAAATTTTACCCTTAAGGGGGTTAAATAAATTAGGGGATATTTTTTTTTATGTAAATTCGTTATTATTGAAGCTAGAAGATTGAAACTTATTGTCGAGGCTGTTGATTAAATATAAATAAATATGACATACTAAGTTTGTAAAAATCTTACCCTTAAGGGGTAAATTAAATAGGGGATGATTTTAGGTAAATTTGTCATTTTTGAAGCTAGAAACTGATTTTTGAGGCTGTTGATCCTTACTTCCTTACTAATATTATAAATGCGAAAGTAACTCTGTCTGTCTGTCTCGCTTTCACGCCAAAACTACTGAACCGATTTAAATGAAATTTGGTACACAGATAGTCTAGACCCTGAGAAAGGACATAGGCTACTTTTTAATGCGAAAAAAGGGTTGTAAGGGTTTGAAATTGGAGATGAAAGATTGTATGGAAGAATCGTCATTTTTGAAGCCAGAAGCTTGAAACTTATTTTAGAGGATGCTAATTAAATATAAATAAATAGGATTTACAAAGTTATTAAAAATTTTACCCTTAAGGGGGTTAAATAAATTAGGGGATATTTTTTTTATGTAAATTCGTTATTATTGAAGCTAGAAGATTGAAACTTATTTTCGAGGCTGTTGATTAAATATAAATAAATATAACATACTAAGTTTGTAAAAATCTTACCCTTAAGGGGTAAAATAAAATAGGGGATGAAAGTTTTTAGGTAAATTTGTCATTTTTGAAGCTAGAAACTGATTTTTGAGGCTGTTGATTGACTATAAATAAATAAGCCTGGAAATTTTGAAAAATGTTAACCTTATGGGGTTAAAATAAAATAGGGGATGAAAGTTTTTAGGTAAATTTGTCATTTTTGAAGCTTGAAACTGATTTTTGAGGCTGTTGATTGACTATAAATAAATAAGCCATGAAATTTTGTAAAAATGTTACCCTTAAGGGGGTAAAATAAAATAGGGGATGAAAGTTTGAATGTAAATTCGTCATTTTTGAAGCTAGAAGCTTGAAACTTATTTTTGAGGCTGTTGATTAAATATAAATAAATAGGCCATCAAAGTTTATAAAAATGTTAGCCTTAAGAGGTTAAATAAAATAGGGGATAAAAGTTTTTATGTAAATTCCTCTTTTTGGAAGCCAGGAGCTTGAAACCTATTTTTGAGGCTGTTGATTAAATATGAATGAATATGACATTCAAAATTTGTATAAAATTACCCTTAAGGGGGTAAAATAAAATAGGGGATGAAAGATTTTAGGTAATATCGCCATTTTTGGAGCCATATCTATGAAACTTTTTTATTGAATTTAGTTAGTTTATTAAATACCTAATATTATAACTGTAAAAGTAATTCTGTCTGTCTGTCAGTCTCACTTACTTTCACGCCAAAACTACTGAACAGATTTAAGTGAAATTTGGTACACAATTAGTCTATATCTTGAGAGAGCACATAGGATACTTTTGGATGCGATAGAAGGGTTATAAGGGATTGAAAGGGTACATGCCATGCATACGAGGTTGTCCGACCTACGGTTCCGGCTGGGTGTGACTGGTTGTCGCATCCTAGAAGTGCCAGGCGCCGATACCGGCGACAAAGCGAACTCACTAGCCGCAAGGTTAGTGATCTTGCCAGTAGAAAAAGTCCGGGTCACCAGGCCGGAGAAATCGGCTGAGCTGAGACTATGTGACCTGGACGACTCAGTAACATCTGAGAACGTCGTTGCCGCGAGTGGGAGGATGGGCGGATACAAGCATACAGGCGGGCGAGGTCCGGTGCACTCCCTCCGGCGTGGGCTCAAACTGGGTGCGATGCCCGGTTGCAGCAGCCTAAACCCTAATCCAGGCGGGTCGGATTAAGGTAAGGTGCTTGCTCACGGGGCACGTAGGCCAACGGTGCACTGCAGGGGAAGACTGCAGCGATAGGTGCTATCGCCGTGGTCAGGGCGGCCACAAGACCGCGAGATGTGTCGCGCCATCGCCACGTTGCTGGTACTGCGCTGCGGCTAACCGCAAGTCGGACCATGGAGTCGGTAGCACAAAATTGTGTCGCTTGCCAAGGCCAGGGCCGCGGCCGCAGCGCAGGTCACCGGCGGGAGGGGAGGATTCGATGGACAACTGAGTCTATCAGCGTGGCCATTGAATCCATATTTGACCCTAGGGTGGAGGATTGTTAGGGCGATCCATAGCTCACAAGGAGGCATTACGGTGGCGTGCAGAGGCTATTCCCTGCACGCCTAGATGAAAGGTCCCTTCAATGGGAACCGTGCCGGTAGTCTTGGAGAATGCATATGCGATCCTATAGCTACGGCGACATGATCGAAGAGGAATAGTCGTCAGGTTTTTGGCCGATATGAATCCGGCAGTCCCCATTTGGCCCCTAAGCCGGTGGGCCTCTATGAAGATTTTTTCCTGACGTTAAAAAAACACGGTTGTATGTAAGAATCGTCATTTTTAAAGCTAGAAGCTTGAAACTCAATTATCATCAAATTAAATAAACGTCAATCATCACCAACCTAAAATATAAGATGATGAGATGATGATTCATAGTTTGTAATAATTTTACCCTTAAGGGTGTAAAATAAAATCAAAGTTTTAATGTAAATTCATAATTTTTTAAGCTAGAATGATGAAACTTTTTTCATTGGATTTTTTGGGTACATTTATTAAATAACTAATATTATAACTCTCGATCTCACATACAAGCAAAACTACTGAACCGATTTAAATGAAATTTAGAACATATAATCTAGAAGACCCTGAGAATGGATATAGGGTATTTTAATGTGGAAAAGGGTTGTAAGGTGCAAGGTTGTATAGATATATCGCCATTTTCAAAGCCTGAAACTGATTTTTAGGCTGTTGATTAAATGTAAATAAAGAAAAATGGGTTGTAAGGAATTTAAAAGAGAGTCAAATGTTTCCATGCAAATATTGTCGTTTTTAAAGCTAGAAGCTTGAAGTTTAATTTTTAGCCTATTTATTAAATATATATTAAGAAAAGAAGTTATAAGGGGTTGAAAGAGTTATATATGTTAGTTAAGTATGGAAGTATCATTTTTGAAGATGAAATGATGAAACTTTTTCATTTGGCTTTTATTGGGTTAGATCATTAAATATTTTTTTCATTATTTAGTCAAGTTCACTATTTTACGCGGACGAAGTCGCGGGTACAGCTAGTGTTAATATATATTGCTTTCTATATGTTGGATTGTTAAGTATGGTATAAATAAAATCATCAAAACAATTAAGTTAGGACTGGTGTACAGGCTATATGGTCATTGTACTGCATGTTTCTATATATATTATATTCTATGTATTTATACCCAGTCAGTATCCATAACACAAGCTCTAGCTAGCTTAACTTGAGACTACATATTGCTGTGTGAATTGTCTTGTGAAAATGTCACTTTTAATATTCTTTGAATTTCTGTAAATGTGTGTTTGAAAAATGTAATTTTTCAACTAAGTACCTTTTAGGGGAACTATGTAAGAAGAGTTTTATTATTTGTATAGGATTAAGTGGTCTCTGTGATCCGGCCGGTTCTCGCGTCACGCTACAATTCGGCGCGGATGGCGCGGAAGGCCTTTACCGTATTTCGTTGCCCGCGCTCGCCTGCGCCACGCTTGTAGCGCGCTGTTGTGACGCACTCAGAGCCATCTTGCCCAAAGATATCGGCATGCTGGTACGTATTCCTATTCTTTTGGTTATTTTCCTTATCAAGAAATTATCTAATCCTACGGCTGTATAAAAAGGTCTTTATTTCAGGCGTTTCCATACTCATCTTATTTACTTCAGAAATGACCTCATCTGCGTAAGCACTATAGGGTGTTAGGTAATATATTTAGGTAAATGTAATTTATAAATTAATCTTACTAATATTATAAACTCGAAAGTATGTGAGTTTAGATTTTATGCATGCATGGATGTTTGTTAAAACTACTGAACGGATTTTGATGAAACTTTACTGTACTAGCTTACTCATCATAAATTTCATGCAGGTGAAATAGATCAACATATAAATTACATTTATGTGTCAAAATTATAAAAAACTAATTACTGTTAAATCTTAATCAATATTGTATAAATGTAATATTTTTAATTTATTAAATGAAGACCTTTCATCCTTGTATGTATCCTTATCTAAAGAAGCAAATATACTGTTAAATAGGTATAAATATTTCAAATGTGACTGTCTGCAGGTTATAATAAAATGGTATGGAGTTCGAAATGCACCTGGTACTCAAGATCTAACTCCCGAACAAGAATGGTCAATGTTTTCTAACCTCCTCTTTGCACTAATTGGATATGATGTCGAAAGATTAACCCAAACCAAACAGAATGATGATCAAGTTGAACATGCAGAGGTGGCAACCAAAAAGCAAAGAACCTCTAGTGATGGAACACATGAAGATTGGGAATATTTGTTGAACACTAAAATGCATAAAGTAATCGGAAACTCTTTAGTGTCAACATTACACTTACATCCCATCCAGAACTCAGAAGGCAGACAAACAAGAAATTCAAAATCAAAAAATAATGTGGAGATGGAGAAATGTGCGCAGTTCAATATAAATTCATTGCTTTTTCCATATACTGTTCAAGTGCTATATGCTTTCCATTTGGTATATGAAGAGATAAAACTAAACACACTATTGTGGGCCTATTTAAAACCCTTATCCAGCTTCTTATATCAAATATCGAGAGATTTGAGATTAGACAGATATGTCAATCACTATTGGTTAGATTTTCCTACAGAGTACAATATAGATTATGATCAAACAGATTCACAGATGTCCGATCTAGTATTGAGTAAGCTTTGTCCACCATCATATTTTAATCAGGAACCACCAAATGTGTTTAGCTACTTGAACTCAATGTTAAGGGATATCGATGTCGGATACTACCCTCATCTCATCGACGTCAATAACATGTCGAGAAACATTATTGAGGTTAGTATATATATTTTTCTTTTATATAAATACAGTAATTTTTGTACTCGATTTACGGTATCCGTCGTAAACAGCTTTAAATACTGATTTCCTGGTTTAGAAAAACTTATATCCTACAGAAAAAGGAGCAAATCGTTTAATAGGATTCTAAGTGAACTCTCGCTCGCTGAGTCACCGAAGACCTGTTACTGGTTTTCTCTAGAGATGTACTAGTTCTTTATTGTTTTAGATTGTAAGCTGTCGGTCAACAAATAGTGAACTTTGAAAGTAGTGTTAAAATAAGATTTCATATAATTGTATATGCAGTGTAAGAATTCATAATGTGTATTGTTACATTATGAATTCTTACATTGCACAATGTAATGAAAACTGTGAAATTAGTAGTAGTGTAAGATTTATATAATTGTATATGCATACTGGTAAATCTAATCCTCCAAATAAAGACGGGTGACACTGCATGTTGTCAACTCACCCGGCCGGCCAGCGGTGGTTCTGGGCCAGACGGATAAGGTCTGCCTCGGTGTCACTGTTAGGCAAATTGTAACATCTCGGCTGGAGTTGTACAAAAGTGGAAATTAAATAAATATTATAATATTAAAGTAAATTAAAAAAGGCACGGACGAATATGTCTGTGGAAAAATGTATTTAAATAAAAAAAAAAAGCTGTCGGTCTTCTAATAAATGATCATATATCGATCGCAGGTGCTGACAATAGTGGAGTACGGTCGCAACGGCGGCGTACAGACGATGTCGGGGCGCGACGCCGTGGGCGCCAGCAGCACGCCGCGCGGCCGCGCGCCCGCCGCCGCCCGCCCCCACCCCCACCCCCACCGCCCCCACCGCCACGCCGTGCGCGCCCTCTGCGACCGGGGTAAGACCGGGGTACGACCGGGGGATATCACTTCTATTTCAGCCCTCGTGTGGTACTACCCGTTACCCGTCATTTTGACTGCTTCTTGTAAATAGCCTCGAGAGCGTAACCTAACGTTAGTAAATAGCTACTAACCTGAATTATGCAAAAAAGGTTATGAGTATAACAAAAAAACTGTGTGTATCGATTAATATTTTTACTGACTGACTCTATCAAAGAAAAAGTCAAGTGACTGCGATAAGCTCGCCTCTTGCCAAGTAGCGTTCATATATCAAATACTGCGTTTTTTATAATGTTAATAAGTAACAATACTTCTACCTACTCAATCTGGGATAACAATCGTCAGGGTATTCATGTAAGATAGTAGACTATATCCATGTTCATGATACAATCTATCCACACTTTAGTTTCATTACGATCCTTTTAAATGTTCGGTTAAGTTTAAATGAGCGCTAATTTAAAAAGTAAAACGTAGGAAAGAAGCAGTATGCATCACAGTTTTATGATTGAGTTTATTTAAAATCAAGTGTGTTGAAAAACCTCGTACGATATACATATGTATTTAACACACTCGGCTCTATACTCAGGCTGAAATTCTGCATCGTGTGTTATAACCCGATGTAATAGATAATTGGTACTTCATATTTACGTATTTTACAGGTATAACATTACGGGACATTGATAACCTACCTCCAGCCATTGGTCTCCTGATGTTAACAATATTCAGTCGGTGCAAAAGTGAACCACCTGTGGATTGGCCACAAGAGGCTTACAAACTCGTGATGAGGGAGGATCTATCACAACAAGCTGAAATTGCTGAAACTATTAAATCAACTTCGGAATATATGGAGAGTGAGTAGAACAAATATCATTTAACATTTAATCAAACTTTAAAAATTCTCCAACCGACATTTGGTGACAATACATCTTATGCGTATAAAACCCAAATTTAAATAACAAGTCTACTAGATCCTCATCATATTACGATCTATCATCGACTTACTGGATGCGCGGCTTCAAACTCAAGACTGTTTTTATTTTTTAATGAAAGTACTTTCTTCCTTAATAGCTTTAGCACTGGAAGTTCTCGAGAAAGAGACGGCATATTCACTGAACACAAACGCCATGGATGAACATGTAAATACCAAGAGTGAAGACAATGAAACTATAACCGGTATGGAACATCTCAACTCAAGACTCCTTGCTCTGCTTTACCCAAGAGACCACAGGTAAATAAAAGATTATGCCACTTTAGATCGTATTGCTGATATTAACATGCACTCCTATCCTAACATACTTATGCATGAACTTATAAGTTGTGGGAGATTACAAATAGATTATTTAATATACATAAATAAAGATAGATCATATTTTATATGTGACTTGTAATACGTTACAGTTTTTAAATAAGTACCTAATATCAACAGACTTCAAAGTAAAATTATCTATTAAAGAAAGAAAGAAAAAACGTGATCAACGGGAACCACTTTGGATAATATATTTTATTGTTTAGTGTTTTTTTAATATTGTGGTTAAATTTTAAGTATTTTTTGGAGTACAAAATACTTAATTTATAATTTAGTAGTCTTTCATGTCACATTTTTTCTAATAGTTACATTATTTTTATAGGATGACTGAAGTATTCAATTTATTGCAATCTTCAATACCGGTTACTATCAATTTGACACAAAGACCAGAAGTATCAGACCACGACTTCATTGAAGAACAAGAGAAATATCTTTTTGCTATAAGTACTCGTACAATGGCTCTACCAATTGCAAGGTATATACTGTGGTTATAAATATGAATTATAAATGGTAAAAGGTATCATAAAAATCATTGTTACGGGTCCTGTTAATATATGTACGTAAGTGTTACTATGGTAAGGTACACTGTAAACTTGTTTATCATTCCTGTTTCATAAAAGGAACAACTTAGGATGATTCTGCGCACGATGCTGTGAGAGTGCTGTGCTGCAATGAGGACGAGTGCGCACTGTGATGCAGATTTGCTTGCTCCATATAAGGCGCGTGTTAGTCGCTCGGTATACCGCGGCCGTCTGTGGGTCGCCAGTGCAGAGTAGTGCGGCGAGCCGTGTGCGTGTGTGTGCAGGGGCATGGTGTCGGTGCGCACGGCGCCGTGCTCGCCGACGGAGCCGGTGGGCGTGCCGCGGCTGTGCGTGGCGGGGCGCGGGCCGCCGCCGCGGTGTAGAGTAGTGCGGCGAGCCGTGTGCGTGTGTGTGCAGGGGCATGGTGTCGGTGCGCACGGCGCCGTGCTCGCCGACGGAGCCGGTGGGCGTGCCGCGGCTGTGCGTGGCGGGGCGCGGGCCGCCGCCGCGGTGTAGAGTAGTGCGGCGAGCCGTGTGCGTGTGTGTGCAGGGGCATGGTGTCGGTGCGCACGGCGCCGTGCTCGCCGACGGAGCCGGTGGGCGTGCCGCGGCTGTGCGTGGCGGGGCGCGGGCCGCCGCCGCGGTGTAGAGTAGTGCGGCGAGCCGTGTGCGTGTGTGTGCAGGGGCATGGTGTCGGTGCGCACGGCGCCGTGCTCGCCGACGGAGCCGGTGGGCGTGCCGCGGCTGTGCGTGGCGGGGCGCGGGCCGCCGCCGCGGTGTAGAGTAGTGCGGCGAGCCGTGTGCGTGTGTGTGCAGGGGCATGGTGTCGGTGCGCACGGCGCCGTGCTCGCCGACGGAGCCGGTGGGCGTGCCGCGGCTGTGCGTGGCGGGGCGCGGGCCGCCGCCGCGGTGTCCTCCGGTGAGCCTGCCGGCCGCGGAGGCGTCGCCGCACTGCCTGCTGTGGCCGTCCTTCCACAACGGCGTCGCCGCCGGGCTCGCGCTCGTGCCCATGACCGGCGCCAGCATAGATTCCAGCTGGATCATTTATAACAAGCCCAGGGTTAGTATAATTGTATACTGTTCTAAACACTGCCGGTCTTATTACAAAAAATCTGTTAAAACTCGGACGAAACGTGGTCTAAATGGTCGTGGTTTAAACCATTCCTAAAGTTAATACTTGGAACAAGCCTAACATTATTACGAATCCAGATCAAACAGAGGACTACTTAGTACTACAGTTAAATCGTTCATTATGTATTCCATACAGAAATCAGTCACTCATGTCTGTTAGCGTACAATTACGTTCCGTTTTACCAGAAAACTGAAAAGATCAAAAATAATATAACTTCAAATAAATATGTATAAACTAAAAATAAATTTATTTCTATTTATCTATGTCGTCATTATAAATATTTCATTAATATATAAATATTTGTTAATGTACTATTAGGCTGAAAATCAGTTTTAAATTACAAGTAGGAGTCCTATACGGAGAAAAGGAACGGCGGGATATTTTTATTGGATCGATTCGAATGGTGACTATTTCAAAGTCAAATGAGTGAAAAAATAATAAATAACGTCTTTTATATATTTTTATTATCGTAAAATTAGCTTTAAATATTTTTAGTTAATATATTTTTAATTTAGTTAAAATATTTTTCCAAAAGCAACAACTTACAATACAATTTTTAAAATGGAGTTTGACTTTTTGCATTTAGACCACTGTTAAACTAGGGGCATCGCAGGTCTAACTTTAGACCATAGACGAATCACGATTTAGAGATAAACTTCATTTTGTAATAAGAAATACATTGGTGAATGGTTTATTACTAGTGCTAAAACAGGTTTATCTTTTTGTAATAAGGCCGTGCAAGTTTACCTATGTGATTAAAATAACCAAAAAGTGTACATTATGATCCAGAATTAGTGTACTACATTATTGAAATCCCTTTAGACATTTATGCATGATTAAGTTACTTCAAATCAGCAAGTAGATAAGGAGATGCTAGTGACGTGAGAAATTATTAATTCAATGTTAACGCAGTACCTACTAGTGCTTATTAATATCACAAGTCAATCAAATCTATTAATAAATGTTTTTACCAAACAGGGTACGACAGAAATGTCCACAGAACATGCCGGGTTTCTAATGGCGTTGGGCCTCAACGGTCATTTGCGTGATATGCCTTTCATGAACATGTACGAGTATTTGGTCAAATGCCACGAGATGATCAGCATCGGCTTGCTACTGGGACTCGCTGCTACATACAGAGGTTAACTATACCTTCATACAATGTTAATAATACTATCTTGATAGTAGTAAATCCAGGTGGGCAACACAAATGCACATGGAAACGCATATAATAATATGGAAAAGGTTTTTAAATAAGTCTGTCTATGTTACACAATTTTATATAACTTTATTACATTTATGTATATACTATATATTTCAAGCTAATTTTGTTATCATAATGAAAAAGCTTTGAACTAGCGAAGATAAACACTTAAATACATTTTTTTTTGTAAATGCATATGAATGCATTTAAAACACCCAGAGCAATATAAACAATCATATGCTGAATACAAATTTTTGCAACGTGCGAGGTATCGAACCCGCGACCATCGTAAAGCTATGTGCTAAACCGCTAGACCACCGAAGCCAGCATTTTTTTCTTAATTTTTTATACATGATAATAATAATATATTTTAGGAACCATGGACGTTCAAGCAACAAAAATGATGAGCATCCATTTAGAACCGTTACTGCCTCCAACGTCGATTGAGTTAGACATCCAGCAGAATATCCTTGTAGCAGCACTACTAGGTGTCGGTCTTATCTATCAGGACACTGGACACACACATTATGCGCAAGTACTACTTAATGAAATTGGTGAGAAAATATTTATGGCCTTTATAAATATAGAATATCTATATTATTCTTTGTTTATTGCGGACATATGTCACATGAATATTAGAAGGCGGTATAATAGTCACTTTAATCATAAAAACATATTTTTGGCTGAAAACGAATCTAAAACAGGTACTAGGAGGAGACGTGTCAGTTACTATTGACTTGACTGATTTTTAACAATGTTGTTGTATAACAAATACATAAAATCCAGCCGTGAAAATATTATAGAGAATAAGTGATGTCTGATAGCTCTCAAATTTTCACGACGATACGACGTACTCTCTTTCACGCACGAAAGGATGTCCATGTAAATATAGATAAAGAGAACGAGAAAGATTGCGAGCACAGCCTGCTCGCGCATTCCCACGTCCTTCAATCGTGTGTGCGCACCTTTTTAATTGTCATTGCAAAATGCCGGACATCTGACTATAACGCAAAGTAATTATAGAGTCATTGACAATTTATGAATCTTGAACGTGTCTCTGGAAAATGTAATCTATGAAATAGGTAAACGCAATCCCTCACGACTGCGCCCGCTGACTTTCCTGTGCTCCTGATCGCTCGTGAAAGATTATCTCATGTAAAGCAGTGAATAGTATTGCGGCATTGTAATTGCGCAGGTAAACCGCCGGGCCCCGAGATGGAGAACTGCGTGGAACGTGAGGGCTACGCGCTGGCGGCCGGGCTAGCGTTGGGCATGGTGTGCGTTCGGTCTGGCAGCCGCGCGCCCGCACACGTAGCTCGTCGTCTCCGTACCTACATGCTCGGCGGCGACAAACTACCTCTCACAGGTCAGACGTACACACGTGCCGAACGCGATTCACGTGCGCAGTATTGGTGTGCACGAGTGCGTACTTACAAAAATATACTATAATTGCATTGTAGAACTAAGAAAGATACACGTAATTTGTAAAAAGTTACTCAAAGAGTTACGCTTATTGCTGAAAGTAATATTTTGCGAGACAACTTTTATTTTCAAAAAGAAATTTTATAACCGTTTGTAATTTTTTAATAGGGATTTGAGAGTAATTAGGTAGTATTTGGAACCGCGTAAAAAGGTACAACAAATACTTAAATAATTAATAAATACGGCTCGTTTTGAATTCACCAACATCATTACGGCGTCTGTTCTAAATAGACTTTCTCCAATGATTCGAAATAAAACCTATAAAATGAAACGTTTCAGGCGCGCAGAAAGAGAAATACAAGCAAGGGTCGTTCGCGATCCGCGAGGGCTCGACCGTGAACTTGGACGTGACGTCGCCTGGCGCGACGCTGGCGCTGGGCCTGATGTACATGCGGTCGGGCTGCGCCGCGCCCGCCGCCTGGCTGCAGGCGCCGCGCACCGCCTACCAGCTCGACTTCGTGCGCCCCGACCTCCTCATGCTGCGCATCATAGCCAGAGGTATATGTGGGAAAGAGAATGATATATTATGTCGTCTCTAGCGCACAGCTGTGAACTGCTGACATCTGAAGCGTCATGCAAACAGGACATAACCTGAATAGCTGTGAGACCTTGGTGATTGTGAGCTGTATACATATAATTCGCGTACGGAGAGAAATACTTCGTTATCTCATTCTTCAATCAAATCATATCTCACAAATCTTGGTGAGAGAAATATTTCATATTATGACATTTTGCAGGACTAGTATTATGGGACAGTATCGAAGCAAGTGAAGAATGGATCGAAGATCAAGTACCGTCAACAATAAAACCTTATTGTTTTGTGAAGCCCACAGACGATACTATTGATTATGAAGCAATGAAGTAAGTTTATCAATTGTAAAGTAACTAAATTGTGGCTGACATTCTAAATGTTAGCCAATTAGAACATTCTCACCTTTTTTGTCATGAGAATATAATATATGATTTACGAAAAAAATAACAGGTCCATAAAGTGCTGAAAATAAAAAAATGAAAATTGGTGATTATGTATGGGAATTCCTACTTCTGTTAAGCTTTCTATGCCATTGATCTGAAATTTGTATATTTCAACGCTGTAGAGATTATGTTTGAAATGTTAATATACATGACTGTTGTATTTCAGCCAGGCGTACTGCAACATAATAGCGGGTGCGTGCTTCGCAATGGGCCTGCGGTTTGCTGGATCGGGCGATGAGGACGCTCGCGATGCGGTGCTGCACTTCGCGCGGCTGTTCCTCACGCTCGCTGGGAAAAGTATCGCCGAGCTCGCTGGCCGGTCTACCCTCGAGACCTGCCTTTGCGTGTGTCTGCTAGCTGCTGGAATGGTTAGTCCACTCCACTATTACTTTATTCTTCATTATGCAGGTTAGACAACTAAAACACGTGCCTATATTGCAATTAAAATATGGTTTTGAACTATATGTGCTGAATACTTAAACACTTTCTAACACGAACTTTTATATCAAAAATTTTATACCAAATAAAGGTGATACCTTTCTCGATGTTTCTATTAGGTTGCACTAGCCGTGATCTCGAGCTGACTCGAGTAACAGCGATATCAATGTAAATAGGTGACAGTAGATTTTTCTTTTTCCGTCACTAGATTGTTCAACGAAAATTCGCGACACGCAACAAAAAGAAGCTGTAATATTAAGTTTTAAGATCCGGTTAATAGTATAATTAATGTGTACTAAAAACCTTAAAATTTACTAAATTTATTTAATTTTGGTCCTTCGCGCCATTGAAATTATTACTGTATAGGCCTATACAGTTATAGTTCCAACCGAAACGTTGTCACCTGTTACTAAAATGACAGTTATGTCGTATGCACCAGATAATGGCGGGTCGCGGCGATATGTCAGTGTTACGAGTATGCCGGCGACTTCGCGCGCGCCTGCCGGCCGCCGCACCGCCCGCTGCGGGCCGCGCCGCCACCGCCGCGCCCGCGCTCACACACGGCGGCCAGGTGAGTCTTCTAACACGCAACGTCACGGGACGCGGAACGCGGCCACCTGTCGGCGCTGAGCGAGCCACTGACTGCGCGCACTATACACCGCGAATTCCCGGTCGAAAACTTCTAAGACTAAGGTTAAGAAAGTTGTCTTATGAAACTTAGTGAAATCAGTGTTTGCTGAGAAGTAGCACCTTCGCAAACATGTAAAAAAAGTTAATTCTCAGTTATTTTATGAGTGCTGCTATACGCTTTCATAAATATCGACTAAAAACAGCTGTAAAAGATGTAATTTTTTTCCAGATGGCAGTTCATTGTACTATTGGACTATTGTTTTTGGGAGGAGGTCGGGCAACATTGAGCACTACTCCTACCGCAATAGCGGCATTGCTAGCCGCCTTTTTCCCCAAGTTTCCGACACACAGCGAGGACAATAGGTAAACAACAAGGATATTTTCTACAACTACGATAAGAAAGAGTGATTATTTTATATAATTGGAATTTTGTTTTTAACTGACCGAAACTATTACGAAATTATTGTTCTTACTATTAAGTAAATAAATAAATTGTAAAATTGATACTATGGAAGCCTCCATAGTATCAATTTTACAATTTTAATTTCATAAAATTAGCAAATTTTTAATTTAAAAATGTATCTTGTTATGACGTCATGAGAAAACGTTTCTGATGAATTATTAAAAGTGGATACATATATAGGTTTTCAGAAAATTCCAAAGAGAAGAAAAATTATTTTTGACTGTGTTCTACATAATTTAACTTAAATATTGAGATAAATAAGAATCTAAAAATCAAAGTTCATTTATTTATAATATTTGCTCAATTAATAGGCTGATATTATGATATTACAATTATACAAAATCCTATTAAAAATAGATTGCTATCACAATCTATTTTCTAATTTTAATTCATTAGAATAAAAATTATTTCTATAGCTTGTTCCTAACAGGAACCCAACATAAGCTTTCATTTAAGCAAACCATCTATGTTTATAGCAGAATTAAAAAAACGTAAATTCTTTTTAATTCTTGCAGGTACCATTTGCAGGCCTTCAGACATCTATATGTGTTAGCTGTAGAAGCTAGACTTATATTGCCACGTGATCTTAGTACCGGGAAACTGTGCTATGCTAATATACAGGTATGGCTACATAACTACTACTACTACTGTATAGATAGTCTACTCAAAGTTTATATAATTGATGTATGTAGAATATTCTTAGCTATTTATCCACCTTATACCAAATTAGACTTTGTATGAAGTTGTCTGCGTGGGTAACTCTGTCCCTCCTATTTCTAGCGCAAAGTTTTGTATGATGTGATTATGTTAAAAGGTGAGATAAGGCAGTGAAATTACGTCTTGACATCTTAGTCCACCATAATGGCATCCTTCGTGATCGTTTCTGATTTTCATAGAACTTTTCATGAGTACATACATCGGTTACTACTTACAATCAGGAATTTTACACTCAGAAATTGTTGCTAAAAATCAAACATTTTTGTCACGCAATTTTAAAGTTTTGTATAATTTTATGTACTAGTACATAAATTATAGATATTTTTTAAGAGTCAGAGAATGGTCTCAAAAAAAACTGAACCGAATTCTTATGGACTGGACTGGCAGGGTTTAAGTTCAAAATCAAACATTTTTGTCAATTGTTTGTAATTTATAACAAAACTTTAAAAATATCTATAAATCACTCATGCTATCGATAGGTGATAGATCTTGAGGGTGCTGTGAAGGAAATGAAGGCGCCGTGTATTATACCCGAATTGGATAAACTGAAGGAGGTCAAAATCAACGACCCGAGGTACTGGCCTATGACGTTCCAGAGAGACCGCAATTGGGATGTGTTAAAGTAAGCATTTATAGTTTTTACTAAGTATTTGCTAGTTTTTACTAAGTCTTTTTTTTAAATATTATATATTTTCAAATATATTTTCATACTTTAGCAAAAAAAAATGGTCGTTGTCACTATAATCGAGTTAACCTATAAAAATTCGAATTGTAAAATAAACCAAACAGATTGTAACAACCGCAAATTTTACAATAATTATTTAATACGCAGAAATTTCAATGTTCCTTGTTATAGGACGTTCCTTGATTACACATGGTGTATTGACATAAAACAACGCGCCGGATGTCTGTCATACCTCGACGACCCTCAAGGCTTTCTCACCATATTGGCACAAACATTAACACTGGACAAATCGAATATTTGGTCAGCAACTCCCGAAAACATTGATTTATTCTCGAACGACGAGCAAATCCGGAACTTTATCAAACATTATTTAATCAAAAGCAAGGACACTGCTTCAAATATTTGTGGGGACTGTTTGTTGATATCGAAAAAGCGGAAAGGTTTAAAGAATGAGCCGTTTATGGCGAAACAGTGTCAGTGCAGGAGATACAGCAAGGAGGAACAGGAACATGCGCAAGCGCTCAGTATGGTCACCTATGAATGTGTTGTCAAAGACATATTATGTGCTTTGCCTATATGGACGACATTTTTAAAGGTATTGTTAATTATTTTTTTAGTTATATTTTCCATCTAACAATGTAAATACCAGGTATTTATAATGTACGTAACATTATAAATACCTGTACTAAAATAATTTTATCCCGTTTTTCATTACATAGTAGTGTGGAGAAATTAAATTACTAATTCTTTACAATTTCTGCCTTTATAATATAATACAATATAATTGTAACACACAATTTTCATATTGTAATATGTCTAATGTCTATACAATTTGTTTCGTTGTCACTACGTTACTGTTTAAGAATTAACTATTTTATTATTCTTTTTAGATAATAAAAACAATGAAAACAGACCCATCATCCTATCACATATGGCAAATTAAACTACTGTTATCACAAGTGGAAAATCACAATAGGAAATCAATGAATGAAATGAAAGTAGACGGGCAAGACGTGATAAACGAACCTCTCATATCAACTGAGTTCACGCTGGCCATTAAACAGAAGGTGTCCAACATCTTTGATAGTTGGGAAGAAAAGATCACACCCTACCTGAGAAAATATCTAGGTTTGCCGAGTAGTAGGAGAATTAATGCTTTTCCAGAAGAAATGAAGAAGATATTAAGCGCTTTCGTAATATATAATGATTTGCCTAAAGGCGTATTGAATAGCTTTGTCAGTGATAACGACTTAGAAGTGTTGCTAGGTCTTGAGAAGCATAATTTAAGTGCGGAAGCTGTGAGCAAAATCGAAGCTCTGCTTAGATGATTGAGGTCCCTTTCTAGTGGCTATGTGACACGATCGAGATGTCACGGAGACTGTGTTCATGATTGGTGTTGTTAGTTCGTCTTAGCTAAATGTTGTTACTGTTATTTAATAGTTTCAATTAATTAAAGATACTTTATGTTTATATAAATAAATACAAGAATATATGAGGCTATTGAAGCACGAGTACTATTAAAAAGTGTTATTTATATAATTGGAATAACTAACAACATTACAGTCTGTGGTAAACGTCACATAAAAAGATGAACAGCATGGATATCACGTTATCTTGTGACGCCCGTAGCACCACTTGTGCAGATTATTCCTAAATATCTAAAATATATACCGAAACACATGTTGTAATGCGAGCTGTTTGGCAGTATAATAACTAACACAAAAAGACATAGGTACAAAGTTTGTCCGTAAAGTTTACAATATCATAATATATACTATGTATACCTAGTATTTATATACCTATAAATTTGTGACATCGTGTGAATTTTTCGGGTTCGACCTGTATTTCTTAATCAAACAGTCTTTTATATATGATCTACAAAAATAAGTCAATAAATCTAAATGTTTAAAAACTTTAGAATACGCATGCTATCGGTACGTGATATCAATTGAATCATACGTCATTCTGTCACGGAAAGTTTAGATTATGTTTCGACTTCAGTTTTGACGTCTTTATTATAAAAGATGCTCGTACATATTAATCTTTCTAATATTATATATGCAAAGTTTCAGAGTATGGACGAATGACTGTTTGTTACTCTTTTACTTAACTTCAAAAACTTTACAGTAATATAACATATACATCGGAATAAATATGATAGTATGTAAATTCTAATAATATGCACGATTATCCTTTATATTAAGACACACAGTCATAAAAAGGGATCAGATATTTCAACTGAGTATTTTAAACATTAGAATCTATCTACGCCTTACGAATATCATCGCGTCCGTAACTGACCTATGGCAATATGGCTTTGACGTGACCAATCCGTGTAACTATTATTATGCGCACTATCTTATTGTGATTTACTGATTAAGCAAGTTACGCATACTTGTTTTCGTTTCTTTGTATATCTTATTATTGTGTTGTTTTTTTATTAGTGAGGATATATAATATTATTAATAATAGACTTACAACGGTTGTTGGTTGGGAATTAAATTTCTTGATATTATTATTCTTTGTATAATAATAGTTAACATATCTATCAGTAATTAAATATTTACTATTAGGAATTCTAATTGAATCTGTTAATTGTAAATACCTAACTGGTATGTATGTAAATTTTTATCTATCTATCTATCTATCTATGTACATATACGATAGATTACATACATATCTTGTTTCGTATAAATGTGTACAAATAGTATGTATAATAAATTATAAGAAAGATTGGTAACTGATAAGGTAATATAACGTACTAGAACACTTATATATTTTACTTATTAGTATGAGTACTGGTCTGTTCAGGTTGGCCATTGATTAGACTATTTCCTTTAGACAAAATTGCAATAGCATATGTTGGTGGTCACTCAATTCTCCCTAATTAAATTAAAAACATGTTCATTTCAAAAGAATAAGAGCCGAGTTTCTTGTCTGTACTTAGATCGAAAGCACTCCAAACTGACGGTAGATTGCAATAGACTACCATAAATTAATATATTTTGTATTAATTAATTCAGCCGACAGTTGCGTGCTAGCATTCAAGATCATTATTAAGTATTATAACACAATATCTTTGTGTCATAATGGCCTGGTAAACAAGTATGATGTTTTTTTTCTTTTATTCAAAACATTAATGGGCTGCCTCTATAACTATAAATAAATATAGACCTTTATAACCAGGTGGACCGTAGGCTGATTGACAGCCTTGTTGTCAAAAATTAAATGAGTAAAGTGCAAAGCATATTTTAATTAATAATGCATGTAGAAATTAATAACTAAATGGAACAATATTTGGAACGTATTAATCTATTTTTATACGATATATTTTATCAATTGCTAACAAATATTATTAGCGGTTTTATTCATTATATGTTAGGTATGTGGACGGAGGCTTTATGTGTATGTTCTACATAAAATATCAATAGTATGTAGGTATCTATTAAAATGGTAAAAACATTTTTTATGTAAATATACCTTTGTTGTATACAAATAATGATTACTTTAAGGATTAGATAGATTAATATCTATCATCATGTTATCAATGTTAAATAAGCTACTTATTTATTGCTAGTCGTCTGCCAAACCTACTATAATTTAAAAAAAGTACCATACATTTTGATACTTACATAGTTATTTTTATTCCATGGAATAACTGTGGAACTTAAATGTTCTTAGAAAAAAAGATTTGTAAGCTAATGATATCAATTTCACATGAGTATAGAAAAGAAATATCTGTACATACATACAAAGCTATATACATATAATTGTCTTACTGCAGTCTCTCTAGATAATTGCACCACACTGAAGGTTGTTGTTTCGTTCTAACTTATACATGTGGTGTGTGTCGTGTTGTGTGATGTATGTTTCTTAAGTAGATAGGTTTGTGTTCATATAAGTACATTCATATTTCATACTCAATTATAGTTATAAAATTTAACTTCATTGTACAGTAATTGTTTAATGTAATGTGTCATTGCCATTTTAAGTATGAGTTTAGATTGTTAGTTGAGCGTTGTGATATTTTACTTTGTGTCGAAATGAGGCACCGTAAATATAAACCAAATAATAACAATGAAGTTATTTTATTATGTGGAAACCTGTAAACTATATCGGATTAATTTTTCCTGGAGAAGAAAATTTTCTTTTTTTGTAATTAAATAAAAATTTATAATATGGTTAAATAATTTGTTTAATGTTTCTGTTTCTAATTCTTAATTGTATCAACTCTTTTATTTTGTAAGATTATTACTGTTATCGCAATTTGCGCTGTCTACTGATGAAATGTGACGATTATATGTTTAATTATAATGCATTATGCATGTAGTATTACTATAATACTTTTGATCTTATCTAGAATACTGTAAAGGACTAACCTCAAATTATATTACAAAGGTAAATGATACATAAAATTACTAATGAAGTTGTAGCCATCTTTTTTTAATGATATTTCTCATAATCATTTAACATACATTAATATTTATATGTTACCTTCTCATTATGGTTCGAACACTATACGAACATTTCATTTATTACTACATTAGTTTTGACTTTAGTTAAATTATGTATGATTAATGAGAGCATTGTTGCCTAGTGGTTTATTACCTGAATTACACCCAAGAGGTAGTGAGTTCAAACTGGGCCAACAAAAAAAAATGCGCACATGTCACGTGTTGCGTTCACAACAGGCCTTTGACTAGTCCATCTGAGACACCAGTCGAAGGAGTCATATGTCCATATATGATTAATCATCTCAGAAATCTTTAATTTGTGTATATAAATATAGCAAAATTGTTAATTGTTTACATATTAATAATAATAACAGTAATTGTATACGACTATACATTTATTTTCAACGTCGCACAAATGTCAAACCCAGACGACGATTATATTATTAGCTATCATTTATACCGCGAGTTTATCTTTGGACTGTGATTGGAATTCGCTTCTGTCTCCTGATAATGTCACGACGAAACAATACAGCCATACTGACTAATGCGCTACACCAAAATACGCCATGTTTACATTATTATTTTGGGCAATAGCTTCTTTGAAAATTCAACTTTACTCTTTATAGATCACGAATTGATTGGGGTTTTTTTTTTTTAATTATTCTACAGATAGTGGATCAGACACTGAACTGCAAATCATATTATGTAAAGATATAATACAGTTGTTATACATATAGCCCGCACTAGGCGAACCTGTAATGCGGAGGTCCATAATATAATTACCAGATGATATTAACAATTACAAGTGACATTGTAGAATTAATTTATTCATTATGTGTAAAATGTACAACATACTACTATTTTTTTAAACCACTTCTATGGCAAATAAGCATACGGCCCATCCTGTGGTAAACGGTTAGCGTAGTCTATGAGCGCCTGAAACACCAGGGGTGTCATGTGCGCATTGCCGGCCATGAAATACTTTTTTTTGGGAACATGTGTGCATAGTCTGTAGTGTAACATATAATTAATACACTTAACATTTAGGAATGGACTGGACATATACCTATTTTATCGACCTCATTAGTATTCTTTATTGATAATTATTATATCACTTATAATTGTATATGATCAATCACAGTTATCGCCTTAATGAAAGGATTATAAGTGACCAAATGTATAAATACACCAACGTCCTATGTAGTCATATTACTTTTTTTAAGAGAAGTACAAAAAATGGATTTCAAATTGGGGATTGTGCTTTTAATGCTCCTCATTGGGAGCTTAGGTAATTATATTGAATTATTATTTAAAAACGTGATTTAATATTACGTTCTTACTAATTAAAATTGTGTCTCAGTGAAATCAACCTGTTTCGTTATAAAGAAGTTTGCTTTCATTTCATGTGTGTGAAAATGCTGGGTACTGTGATTCAAGATTTTTGTAATATACTTTAACTCTTGTTTGAGATCAGGCAAATCGTGTGCTTGATTAAAATTATACGCAGTCAAGTCAGTCAGTACAACAGTTATACAAGAATCCATCACTTCTCTTTTAATGTCTCTTCCCAATATTTTGGATCGGCTCTCATAGAAGAAAATTCTTTTGAGAAAATATCTCTCTCTGGTACAAAAAATAAAAGTGATATCATAGATAAGTTACATATGTTGTGGAAGAGACTTTTATTCAGTGGAGAACATAATTAAGATATAAGTACATATATGTATATATCCTTATTGAAATCGGTCGTCTACATTTGTACTAAAAATTAACTTTTTATTTGAACATAAAAAAAAATAGCCACAAATAATCCCTTGTTTGTGTATCCCCTAAATTGGACACGATGCAGGTAAGCACGTTATTTTCATCATGATGTACTTAAATGATTCGTGCAGTAAATGAGAGCAATGAGCAGCTTGTATTTTTTATCGACTTTAAAAATAAAGTCGTTCTCAATTCTACTAATTTCGATATTTATATATATTGCTGATTATTTTTGTAATATTTGGCTTAGATATAATACAAAATAGAGAATAGTTACGTTTTTTTGTGATTGGTATTACACGAGTAATTCATTCTCTCGTGGTGAATACATAAGGAATCAACGATGATGATTTTATGGTTACAAGAGCGTCAATCGTCCCCATTATTCCATAATCGGTGATAAGTAATCCGAAAGCTAGTAACGAGTTCGAGTCCTCGAACAAAATGAACTAAAAAATCTTTTTTTATATTGACACAAATTCCACGGTTATTTGATCACTTTTTTTATTTATTTTTTGTTGATTTGATGTCCTCTTTGTTTTGTGATTAAAAGTTACGTTTCATTATTCATATTCTATCTGGTTTTCGGCTTTGTATACTTTTTACGACTAACTCTTTGTATACTGTAGTTATTATCCCGTACGAATATCGTGTGATTTCAGGTAATTTTTGTTTGTCTAAAATTGGAAAATGCTTATACTGTAAAGAATCTTCTTTAATCATTTGCAGCCGCCCCGAAACCCGAGCAAGATATGTCGATATTTTTCGACCAAGTGGACCCAACGGCACGCATTGTCGGTGGAACAGTAGCAAATCCGAGCCGCCATAGACACATGGTGGCACTAAGCAATGGTGGGCTGGTCCGAACTTTCGTCTGTGGAGGTTCTCTGATCTCCGGGAGGACTGTACTCACAGCTGCACATTGTATAGCTGCTGTTTTCAGCGGTGGTGTTCTTAGCAGGTAATTACATTCATTATTAGTACTTGAATAGAAAATTTAATAGAATCGCCCATGGGAACCTCAGTCTTAGGTACCTGTCATCTGCCGAGCTGACTTTGTAAGTGGCGTTTTTGTTTGAAAACAGTCTTCTGCAACAAACCTATTTTACCTAGACTGTTTTTTATGAAAATTTAAGTGTATATTTGGTATGTCTGAGAATACATCGTAGGCTATTTTTTATACCCCTAGACAATAAATTTTATTTTTCCCTATAGGTGTCTTTTAATTGTGTATCTGTAATTCAATAAAATTATGCATATAAATTGTAAAATTACAGCAATGTCCGCGTCATTCTCGGCACAATGCATTGGAATCTGGGCGGCACCATGTACACCGTTGAACGGAACGTAACTCACACTAACTACGTATCCTCCACAATCAAGAACGACATCGGTTTGCTGATCACCACAGTAGATGTCCAACTTTCCGATGAGGTGGTTCTACTTCCACTCAATTACGACTTCCAGGCCGGGGACGTTCAGTCCAGGGTCGCAGGCTGGGGTAGAATTGCGGTAAGAACTCAAGATTTTAGTAGTGATTTAGCACTACGCCGTTTACTTGCAATAGTAGATTCCTCGCACTATGCAAACAATTGTATTCATAAATATGATTGTTTGTATCGGTCTGGGTGTTTACTATGTATGTTACGTGTGTATTTACAAAAAAAAAATGTATTTAAGTATTTGTATCAGTTATGTACGAGTAGTACCCACTACACTACACAGTAACTTAGCTTGGGACTAGATGGTGCTGTGTGAATTGTTATAGGTTATTATTATCCTTGTATTAGTGATAGCACTCATCAGAAGTAAATTTTCAGACTTTCATGCAAATGGTATGGGTCACGTGACTAATTTATTATAATCTTAAAAAATATTATCAGATTATTTGTTCACTTTCATGCGAATCTTACCTGCGTTTTGGTAACCCAGTATTTCATTTTTTGCCAAGGTTGATATTGTAACATATCTTCTGCGTGGGTATCTCACTATTACCTATTTTAGCCGGCAATTCGCTTGCTTTATTAGATGGGTTTCGGTTGTATTCTGAGATTATAGGCCTTGAAATTACAGTATAAGAAACAATATATTAGGAATAGCAACATATATGTGATATTACGTGACATATAATATATGCGTGATAGCCGTATTGCTGTCCACATATATAGGCGACGGTTACCACTTACCATTATGTATGTAGGTTATCTTGTTTGCTATTCCAATTATATAATAATAAAAAAAATACTAGGCATTTTACCTATATTAATACCTGAAAAAAAAATACAACGAATTGTTCGCTTGGTTACTGGCATACAAATTGCTGCTTAGCTCAATTCATGTCAATTTAATATATTGTCATATATTTCCAGCAAGGCGGAGCGTTGTCGGCTGTCCTCTTAGAGTTAGACGTGTCAACCATCGACGGCGAGCGTTGCATAGCAGACGTGCAAGCAGCCGGAGAACAGTGGCATATGTTCCCGCCTCCAGTTGAGCCACACATCGAGATCTGTACTTACCATTCGCCGGGCTTCGGTGCTTGTAACGTTAGTAACAATCGTAACCTATGTTTCTATGACATCACAAGTGTAGCAAAACCCGTGGAACTAGCATATTGTGGCGTCTCTCGATTTTGAGCCACAAAAAAAACCATCGCTCCTAAGAATATCTTTCAATTCTTGTCCCTGACTGGTCTAAGTAGAAAAGTCTAAAAAAGTAATAACTAAAATCTTTGTTGCCTATGTTTGTGCCTGCTGTAGTTGTGTATAGTAACTGGTAGTAGAAATTAGTAATTAAAATGTTTATTACATACGAGTGGTGTTGTGGACATGTAGCAATAATTATTAATTAGTTACAGAAATTGTATTAATATTATAAATATTTGTTACAGGGTGACTCCGGCAGCGCTTTAGTGCGCATAGACATTCATGAGCAGATCGGTATAGTGTCATGGGGTTTCGCGTGTGCGCGCGGTGCACCAGACATGTTCGTACGTGTCAGTGCCTACAGGGATTGGTTGCTGCAAAACACAGTCTAAAATATCTAATAAAATAGATTCTCCATTAAAAAGCACTAAAAAGTAATCGCAATGTTATTAAATAATAATAATTAAAATTATTATTCAGTTTTTAATGTGAATTATTGAACACCAGTTGTTGCGAAAAAAATAAGTCTGTATTAGCTGTAATATTGTTTTTATACAAATGTTTATTATATATGTGAAAAAATAAATGTAATAATACTTAGTGTTACTATTTTTAATTATAAACCCGCAGATTGGATGTACAACATTAACAACAGTCAAATACAAATTGCGTTACAATAACCTTTAGGTAAAGGAGTAGTAGTTATGGTTAAAATATATGACTCTATAAATGAATATATATTTATTTATAAATCATCCAAGAAGGATCGTTACGAAAGAAACTCTAAAATTTCAATGCAATTTTTAATTGGCAAAAGTCACTTGTATAAAATGACTATTTTTCTACTCATCATCGATTACCTGTACGCTGTGATTCTGACAAAAATATAATACGATTTAATAGTTATTTAGTATAATAAATAGTTATTATATTTTCAAATTATGTTAATATTTATGATTATTGATTTAATACACAACAATTCTTCACCACATTTATAACTCGCCTTATTGTTGTATAAATTTTATTTGTTATAAAAACGTTCAGGTGCTCAGGTTTAATAATACTTGACCAATAATGAAGTTAATTAGCTATTTCTTAGAGAGACATCAATAGTATATAAATATGTCAATACTAATAATTATTTTCTTTGTTTACTGTAACAACTTGCTATATATAAAATATAATATGTCGATATGACTATGTTTGTTTTGTAAGCCGTGGCGAGTTTATTCTCCCCTCTTAATATATTTTGAGAATATGTAATAATGAAATTGGACGTTTTACTTTTAATAAATTAAGTCATATAGTCCCCATTGTCAAGTGAGGGACAAATTATGAATTTTTATTCAACCGAAATCTAATATTAAATATTCTTTAGTATGTAATTTGTATTTTTTTAATCAATAACAAACAGATATACATACAAACTATATACAGATATATACTCAGACCATTTGTAATTTAGAATATAAAAATCAATTTCGAATTGGCGAATCATATATAGGCCTCACACAACTGTAAAACACTCATATCAAAAAGCTTACTTAACGCATAATTACAATTGCCTTCAAGAAATATCATAAAATATATGTAATAGAGATATTGGAATTGTTTACCTTATTCATAAAAATATCGCCGTATTTTTTTACATGTCAACAAACTAATATCAAAGCAAAATATATATTTATGTAGGCAGGTAACCCCACTAAATTCCGTATAATTTTTATAATTTTAAGTTTTCGGATATTCATAATAAAATCGATAATAACGACCTAATTTAAATGTATGAAAGCAAAACTATTGACAGCAAATATAATTTTCTAATTTTTTTCCGAAAAATAAAATAAATTTATTACTAATTCAATTCCTTTTTTGAATATTTTTTTCTTTATACAAAGACAAGCTTTGTAAACAAAACGCATAATGCACTGACCGCTCTATTAAATCGATGAAAACGTAAACAAAAGCAAATTTCAAGTAAATTGTAACTTATGGCCTCGGGATAAGTTTCACTTTCATCTGCTGTGATGTCTTCAAAGTAAAAATTTAAATTTTGTATTTGAATTTAGAATTTTAGATTCTTTTGTATTTTTCTTAAGGTATGAGTGGTTATTATTATGAATATTTATTTTAAATGTACTTATAAAATCAACTCCCGCTTTTTACTTCTACAAATAATAATAAAAGATAACATAATGTAAACATACGAGGGTAGTTATGATTTTTTATTGGACTTATTTAAAATCATGACCTGTAGAATACATAGCTACCTTCAGATTTCTCACTTCTTTTTTACCGCCATCGAAACGCCGTTCCTGCACGTGGTAAGTGAATTTCCCTTCATTTTACCATTATAAAATTGCAATATTTTCTTAATTTACCTCCATTTATCAAAGTTTATGTACAGCTGTTAGAATAAACATGTTATTTTTTTGTAGGATAAATATAAAAAAATGGAGCCGGGGACAGTGATCGTGAACACGGAAGGTTCGGATATTATGTGTCCAGTACTCCTCATACCTAGAAAGTGTACGGATTTAGAAACCAACTGTGAGGCTACTGATAATGTGTTTATTGATTTGAATATAACCTCACTAAATACTGAAGGCAATGAAATGTGTATTTACTCTGGTTTATGTAATGTGAAGTTAATAGATAAGTATGATGTTAATATTCATCACGTTTGTTCGCCGGATGACAGTGGATCATCCAGTTACATTGATATTGAACAGCCTCCATTAATAATTCATGAACAAGGGAATACATCAGCTTACCCTTCGTACAACCAGTCCAAGGTGTGGATAGATCCAATTAGAAGTCCACATGTGTATAACCAGTATGACGAAACTGATACTCAGGAGTACTCAGTATGTCATCAGTCGCATACCAGCCACATAACTGTTGAGCAACACAGTACATACATAACCCAGAATGTGTTCAACTATAAAGAATCTAACCAATACTCACCCATAGACGATTTTGAGCATAAAAAGTTTAGAAAACTTCAAGCATCCGAAACCGTCAGCCAGCAGCCTTCGAACAGCCAAGATCCAAATTTTAGTTTTTATGAAGAAGACGAGTTTGAATGTGGAGTATTTCTATCTCAGCTCTCAGAGGAGATAATAAACGAGAAGGAAAATAGAGCTAGAGAAGAGATGAAGTATATAGGAATGCAAAGTGAGAATGGCGCATTGAAGCAGCTCATGTCTTCTGATATCCAGTCTGCATCGAAGCAACGTAAGACAATATTGTTTCTCGGTCACGATTCTCACTGCGGCCAAACAATACAGAAGATAGCGGTCAACGACCCTTCCTTAGAATGTTACAGCGTTGGTGATACGAATAAAGATGCTGAGACTGGTAAGTTTCCTAAGTTACATAAGTTTTACAGTTCAGTAACATTGTAGATTTAGTAGTATGCCCACTTTTCTTTTAATTAATTTTGTCCTGTATTGAATTTATAAAATTATAATTTATCTTTATTATGATGCTAATTGCTACACTTCACAAAATTAGTGTCGACTTTTTCAATTCTGGTTTCGGCCACTCTTAGTGGATTATTGTCGTGTTTGTTTTTCAATTTACTGTCTGAAAATTACTCAAACAATGCAACATCAATATTTAAGATATAATTTCAATGGCTTATATATATATATTAATTTCATCAGTAATTAATTAAAAGCAATTCTCTGCGATGATTTACAGGTGTGACCATGTTGATGGTCAACCAGACAGGTATATTGCTGGCAATGGAGTTATTAATACCAATTCCTGGGGGAAAGGGGATTGTAAGTAATGTGGACTGATGACCCCATAGCAATGTACTACGTCTGGTTGACCTCCACGTGGTTCCCCCTGGAAACCATTGTGATAAATTCCTGGTGAATTTGTTACGATGGGCTAACTGACCTGACCTCATGCTCATCTTATCATCCCCCCCTGGTGCCCCGCCAGCGTAAACCGTTAGCGCAGGCGGGTGCACCATTCCATTATCATCCATAAAAAAAAGGCATTAAAAAAAAATACCAATTACTGATAATCTCGTCCTCCCTGTTTATTTGTTTGTCTGGACGTTTTAATGTGTTTTATGTAATTGTTTATAAATTACAATCACTATCAGCGGTAACAAGCTAACTAGATGGCGCTCACACAGCGCCATTGGTATGAGCATAGAATAACTAGTAGTTAATCTATGGTGTTAGTTATTTATTTATTAAAATTATGTATCTTAAATTTCTTGTTTCCTAACTTGAGGCTAGGTAATTAATATGCAGTAATGTATGTTCATTAATTTTTAAATGCTGATAGATATTAATGCGTGTACTCTCAAATATTTGGCTATATAATATATGAGATGGAATTTTCACAAAACACTTTTATTTTTTCAGATAATAACGATACTTCCGATTCTAATCAGAAAAAGTATCAATGTGACAAATGCAAGCAAATATTTGATCAAATAGCTGCATTCAAACAACACATAGTCAGTAATCATAGAATGATAAAAAGTTTGAACTTGTATGATGCTAGCAATAGTACTGCGAGTGAAGTTAAATTTATGTGCACCGAATGTGGCAAGAGTCTCAAAAATCAAGAGAAATTCGAAATCCACTGCATGGGTCACGGTGATCCGGAATTAGAATGTAACAAGTGCCATAAAGTGTTCGCCTCAAAATTTACTTTACGCACCCATCGTAAGTTACACGCTCGGAAATATCCATGCACTTATTGCTACAAAACGTATTCAGAAGCTGAAGATTTGAGAGTACATGCTGCTAAAATGCATTTCATTTTTATGTGCATGTATTGTAATTTTGTGGCTAAGAATTATATTGAATTATCAAACCACCAACAAACGCATAATGCAGATGTAACCAAGGAATCGAACGAAACTGATTGCACAGACTCACTTGTGAATGAAACATCTAATGAGACAGATATTATTACTGTCTCTCCGCCACTCATGTTGACACAGTCATCCACGGACAGTGACAATTTAAATTTGGATAATCAATGTGCTATTTCCAAGGAAAACCTTGATGATGAAATAAAAAAGGCTGACTCTGTTATAGCTAAGGTGATGTCGAATAAGGTTTTCCTCTTACATTCTAAGAAAGCTAGAAAACACAGGAAATACAATAAGGTAAGTGAAATATTTATATATCTATATATATTATGTACCTTTACGACTGTTGTCCAAGTGTAGTCGTTATAAATATTATTGTCGATGTCGTGGTGAACATAACACAACACTTATCATGCTTACATTTCGATGGGTATATTTGAACCTCCAAATGAGCTTCCCGCTGTCTATCGAAATTATTTCCTTTGATATAATCATTTTCATTACCATTCAGTCAGATAGAATTGAGACCGAATATTTTTAGTTTAGGGTAAATTCGAACTTAGGACATTTGAATCCAAGGCAGGATAACAAACTACTAGACCGCGATGCATAGATATGTATTTTTATTTCATTTGATGTTAACGCGAAAGTCTGTGAGTATGGATGGATGGTTGTTTGTTACTATCACTATGTAATATTATGTTATCTGTGCTATCACGCAAAAACTACTAATCTGATTTTGGTGAAACTTTACAGTAATATAGGATAGGTACCACAATGACAAATAGACTATGTATATAATTTAAAAATATATTATGTAAATATAATGATAAATGTTAAGTAAGTGTGATGCAAACCAAGTTGCACGGGTCAGCTAGTAAATAAATACTTACTTACAATTAATGATTATTATTATTATTATTGAAATTGACATGAGATAAATTTATATTTCTTTGATAATTTACAGTCCTGTGAGGTCTGCTTCAAGACATTCGACCGAATCGGGGATCTTAAAAGACATCTTATAGAACATATAATACGAAGCACCCTCGCCAAAACTCCGGTGAGCAAGAATGGCACACTCAACATACAGTGCGAGGTATGTCAAGTTGAAAGATTCACTAAAATAGACCGCTACAAGGCCCATTTACGTGAACACGCCAAATTGACATTGTATAAATGTACATTTTGCGACAAATCATTCAGCGATTCCAGTAACTTTTCAAAACACAAGAAGATCCACGGCACTACTTACCTGCAGTGCGACTTATGCCAAAGAAAATTCAACTCTAAGAAAATGATCACGCAGCACATGGAGTATCACAAGAAGAATTCACCCATTCCGTGTCAATATTGTAGTAAGATATTTCACTTCGAATCTATGCTCAATAAACATATCAAATGTGCTCATACTAAGGAAGTGCGTAGCAGATTTAAATGTAGATTTTGTTATCAATACTTTAAGACTTTGAAAGAGAAATGGGACCATGAATGGACTATTCATAACGTAAGGAAGATGATAGTAGATTGTTTGGTTTGCGGTTGTAAGTTTCGGAAATATTCCGAATTGAAAAAACATTGTGTTTTTGTTCATGATATGGATATTCCGCCTGCAAAAAAACTTTTAAAGAAAAAGAAAGCTAGAAATACGTGTTGTAAATAGATTTTCGTTTTCCAATTGAAACTTCTATATACAGATATAAAAAGAGTGTATTTTAGAGTAATCTTTATTTATTGGCCCGTACATAGAATGTTATAAACTGAAGACAGCGACTTTGTATACTTATTTACATTGAATTGAATTTAAGAGGCCTTAGTAAACTAATTTATATAATATTTTCAGTGTCATATGTATGAAATTGTAGCTATATTATACTCATAATTTTAAAGGCAAGACTGATAGCCATATATTTAATGAATTAAGAAAAAACGTAAATGGCTAAATTTACAAAAAAAACATATTTGCTATGTTATATTAATATAACAAACATGTTTTGGCATTAAGTATAACTTAATATATAGTAGTAGATTTTTATATTTAAACTTTTTTATATACTTGTATATGGTATCGTTATTTTAAACGTACCTACCTAAAGTGTCTGCAGCGACAAAATCACCACAAATATTTATGTAAGTAAAAAATAGCTTTGCGAATAATTGTGAACAAACCTTCTAAAGATTATTAGTTGATCATGACGTCTAGTTATTTGTATTGTTTTTGTCACCGTGCACATACTTTTGTAATAGTTGTTTAATATCACACATTACAAAAACATGTTCAAAACAAAGTTTTTGTACTTGTAGTCGTATAAGTAAGAGCATAGCGATAAATCATTAGAGGTTTTAAGTAGATATTTCTTTAAATCTTGCTATACTTGAGATTACCTGTACCTTAATGTTACTTACATTAGGGTATAGGTTACTAACTATTTTTTTTATGTTAAAAGTGAAAAGATTTCAGACATTTTAAAAATTAATAATAAAAAAGCATCAGTGTCATGAATTCCTCAGGGTACATAATTTACTAAAGTTTAATACTTACATACCTGCAATTATTAACAAATTTAATTTAAAATATAACGTCCCTGAGAATTTTATATTTATCATTTTTAAACAAGTAAGATACTTAGTAATTCTCCAATACCACCAGGTATAAATCAGTATAGTACATTAAAGTAAAAAATTATATTTTGTAAATTGTGTTTCCGTATTTTTTTTTTACTGTTATTATTGTTGATCATATATATACAAGTATAAATTTATTAAATTAGATCATGATCTCAAAATAAAGTATTGATATGAGTAGAGTTTTTTGTTATACTATACTTTCTATTAGCTTAACTATTGTTGAATTGTTGTTAATTTGTTGTAACTTGTTATTGTTTTTCAACTTAAATGTTTCACATATTATAATTGTTTTTTATTTACATTCATGGGGTGATTAATTCGTACATACTTATAGGTAATTAGAACTTATTAGTTATTTTTGTATGGAAGATAATGAACACTAGGCAAGGTAGAGAGGTAGAGCAGTAATTATAAAAATGCGAATTTTGTTATTAATATTTCTTGCTGGATTTATAATAATTGCCAAGTTTAATAGATCTTTCACATGTTTTCATCAGCGGGCTATTTAAAGCAAATCGTCTTACGATTACCAAAAAGCGTCGTCTGTTGGTATTCTTCTATATTCTCAAGAGCAACAACTCATGAGAGGTGATATGTAGGAATCTTACAGTATATAAATATATACATAACACAGGGAACAAATGAGCTTGCGGCACACCTGATGGTAGGTGATTATCGCCACCCGTGAGCAACAGGAACACTAGAGGTATGTGCATGTGCGTTGCCGGCCTTTTAAGAAATTAGCTGTTTTCTTCAAGGTTTTAAAATCTTAAATGTTCAGAAATACCATTGCTGGAAGTTCCACATTCCACAATGTGATTGTGCGTGCCAAAAAGTTACTAGAAAAACGCACAGTAAACACACAGATTTTCTTTGATATTTTTATTCCTCATGATACCTGCATGTTTAAATTGAGATTTATTTAGCATGAGTTTGCGAAAACAAATTTATTCATCATCTAGTAATCGTTATTATCACTGTATAATTTTTTAAATATTAAGAACACCTAAATATTTATGTCCAGAAGCACTAACATAACTAATGTGACCAGACGTCCCGTAATGAACGGGACAGTCCCTTTTTATAATTACGAGTCCCGGTGTCCCCGAAACGGACTCTGGGACGCAAAATTGTCCCGTTTTCGGTAACGGTGCGAAATTTTGGGTAGACGAGCCGGTTGTTAGTTGTTGGTAATTAAGGTGAGTATAAAAAAAATGTGCCAAGAGTGTCATTCTTACTTAAATACTTCTTAAAAGTCAAATTTGTTCCTCTGATAACAAAACATTTTATTTTTATCAGATAAATATAAACTATCTATGAATAAACAAAATGTTTAATTATATTTATCGGATATATTTCTTAATTGATAACTTTTTCTGAATAGATAATTTTAAAAAAGAGTATTTTCATTGGCTGTCTGTTAATTGTGTCCCGTTTTGAGTCGAAGAATAAATGGTCACATTAAACATAACCGAAGTACCTACTGCTGTGTTTATTAGCAGTTGAAGATGTGTGGGTGCAAAATGTTTATTTACTTTATATTTTTGCAACATGTTTTTGCTTTTAGTTTCGCCCCTAACTATTCCAAAATCGTTCGTTCGTAAGGATTTCGATTATTACAGTTTTACGCGTTCTATTCTAAACGACGACCAGATAAACTTATGATGCCCTCTGATTGATGTATTGTATACACCATTTGTGATCATTTAGTCAGCGAATACAGCGTAGTGTACACTGAAAACTATATAATGCAGAGTGAAATCTTTTCAACCAGTGCTCATTTTGATATTTCATAATCAGTAATCGTTAGATAAAAATATTATCTATATCTATGAAGAACGCGGTCAGTATCGCTGTTCAACTCTAGAGTAGACAATATTTTTTAATATTAACATTTTTTTTTCACTAGTACCACTTTTGAGATGGTTAGTGAGTGATCAAGTTTCCACTCTGCGTGCATGTAGCATCTGTGCTGTGAGTCTGTGGTCTAGGAGCGGTATTCTGGCGCACGACCTTGGCCGGCCGCGCATGCGTACGGCGTCACCTGCCACAGCCAGCCGACAACGCCGACAGCCGAGCGGTCCGGCCACATTGGATTTCCACTTTTCCCCGACAGTCCGCCACAACGCGCCGCTCTGGCCGCGTCTCTATCGCGAAGCGCGCTAAATAGAAACGCGCCCGCGGCCGACACATTGCAAACTCACTCATCAATAACAACTACAAACATTAAACGGCTTTCACACATAAATATATTCCTCGTGTAGTGAACAGGATAAGTTGCGCTTCAATAAGGTCAGTAATGGCAATAATCTTATAAGCTGTCACGTTTCGACAATTCAATACGTTGCTAATATGTTGTATCCATACTGGGTTTTGTCTGTTTGTTTGAATAACGCTGTAATGTACGTCGTTAGCTTTTATTGCTCTTTAGTAATGGAATGGTTCTATGGTAGCTACTGGTACAAAGCGATGTTACTCTTAAAATTCCATTCGATTTGTAACATTTCTTTGTCTAAACACTGTTCTGTTTAGTCGGCAATTTATAAGTAACACAAACGCTGTATGTTGATGCGTATTTTTAAATTTATCAATAGAGGAAAACAACTTTAGTGCCTACCTTTGGTTTGTAATGTTTGGGTGCCTATTGAAATTGCAGATGGCTCTACGCCATCCATATGAAAATATTTCCTATCACGAGTCTCAAATAGATACAAGAATTATTAGGCAAATATAAAGAAATATGTATTTTACAGGTACAATATATTTTAGTACCTACTATAAAAAAATAAAACGGGCGGGGTTTCAATCTTCATTTCCTTTTCCAAAAACAAGTGGCAGTCAAGTTTGAACCTCATCGGATTGATACAGTGTCGCCCTGCCCTACTTTACCTACTCTTCAAGCCATAACAACGAATAAATTGCTGCTTCAAATTTTTCTGACAGTCAATTTGTTTATTACTTGCAGGAGTAAGTACATACTTTTAAAAAACCGCCTAATTATCAATACACCACACTTAACCAACTCCCGAAGACCTATTTTTTCGGACTTCGTTGTAACAGTAGGATTTATTATCTGAATATTGGTAGGTATAATATGTGGTCAAGATTTTTGTTAATTTATGTTAATGTTTGGCATTTTTCTAAAAATATTTGAAGCTTGCGGAATTGAAGGAATTGTTAGTCTATTGTCTAGATATTATAAAAAAATCTTATCTCATATGTTCATCCTGGCATATACAGTTCAATGAAAGAAAGTTTCGCCCAGGATAGCCCCTATGTAGAGGTTCCCCCTCTACAGACAAACATACAGAATTGTTAGTGATAAATTCCTTGTGAGTTTGTCACAATGAGCTAACTGACCTGACTTCATGCCCATTTTTTCATCTTCCACTGATGCCCCGCCAGCGCAATCCGTTAGCAATGTTAGTGATGCACCATTTCATTATCGTACATAAAAAACCCCTATGCAGACTTTAAGCAACTTTTTTCTCTAGAATATATCTTAGTACTGTTATATACTACCTACTGCCATACAATTTCAGTAAAGATTGGGATAATTTGTGGGTGTGTCTAACACAATAACAACTCAATATAAGAACACTTTATTTTATTACATACAATAAGGGCAGCATATAATCAGTCATAAACAATGTATTACTGAAATGATGGCGATAAGACTTCTTAATATATAAAACATCTCAGTTGTCCAGCGCTGTCACAATACCTGATCGCAAGATTGATCTCGGACTACTTAAACTTTTATGAGTATAATTATTTATATTGGCCGGGTGTTTCTTATGTAGGCAGGTATATTATGTTGTTTTTGTCTATGATAATGTGCACCCGCCTATGCTAACAGTCAGCACAGTTAGCCCATGGAAAGGAATTCACAGGCAGGACCGCGTAAAGATCATTCTGATATGGTAAATTACTAACAATAAGAATGACACTAGTAGTTTCCATTACTAAAAGTCCCGACTTGGTCTGCCTGCATCATTGGTACTTACAATATCAATTTGACAAGCTGTACCAGCTGGTTACGATATCTACACATAATTAATTATTAAAAGAAATTGCTTAGGCTTAGGAGCAAGATTAATCTACGCCATTATTTATCAATTTACTAGACAATTAACCCCAAGAATAATTATCTTTTACGTATTTTCACGAGATTGAGATTATTAATTAAGTACCGACCGTATTCTACGGATAAGTTAAATAAAACTAGTACATTAGGTATACATTTTTTCCCTGTACAATTAACACAGCGCCATCTAGTCCCGGTAAGCAGAGCTTGTGTTATGGGTACTAAGCAACCGATATAAAAACTTAAATTAATTTTTATAAATACATACATAATATGCATAGAAAACACCAAAACTGATACAAACAACTCATGAATACAAAAATTTGTACCATGCGAGGAATCGAACCCGCGACCATCGGAAGTAAAGCGGTGTGCTAGACCAACGAGGCCATCAATGTAAAAAGAATAGATAGAACAACGCATCTTAGTAATCAATCATATTATTACTTATGCATTCTCTTGTACCTAGCATTGGATTTTTTTTTATACAAAAAACATAATTGTTTATAATTTCGTGGCACCTTATAGTATATAGTTATGTACTTCATTAATTTTTATTTAACATATACAGTAAAAATATACTTATATGGTTTAATACAATACATTACAATTTTAATGAATATATAAGTAGATATCAAAGTATGTGTTTATTATAAATCGTCTTGTCAAGAATTTATCCTTGACAGCAGTATAGTATAATATATTTAATATCTATGTTAGTGATAAATATTATAAATATCATAATTGTTAAGAATCGTTCAACTATTACTACTATTATTTTTGTGTTTTTTTGTATTTTTATTATACAATCTATCTTTAGGTAAGATTTCTTTAAATTCCGTTAAACCGTAAAGGTATGTAATATTATGTTATCTGTGGTAAAGGTATAGATTTTTTAACAAGGTCGGTATTTTACTGGTATATATACATTAGGTACCAGACGCCGTATATAATAGAAACAGAGTCAGAAATCGTCGCAGCCCCCGTTGCCTCCAAGTTGCCATTTTTGACTACGGTGTCATACTTTCATCTCCTGTAATGTCACCGCCTTATCTCACCCTCCAACTTCTCACATTCCTAATAAACTATCATATTTAGAGTGATATTAAAAATATATATTCAGGTATCGTCGACCTATTAGATAAATAGATAGGTATCTGTTGCATTAGTGCTATGACCTATACCACATAAAAAGGAGGTTAAAAGGGGATTGTAAATAAACTATAGGTACAGCTACTGACCCAAGTAAGAAATTTAACGCATCGTAACACTTGTTGAGAGTCTTATTATAGCAAAGGGTTGAAATAAACCGCATGAATAAAATATGAGCTCCAATTGGTAAGAGAATCTTGAATTGTTATATTAGTCAAATTTTCCTTCCATTTAAAATACTAACTGCTATTTTATCCGTATTATCACAGTATTTGAGTTTCTCCATAGACTGTACATAGTGGAATTTTTAATAAGGTTTGTTCAGGATGCGCAATGTGACATTTAAGCGTTGATAATGTTAAAATACGAAATGATAATGTAAATTATCATTGCAATTGCAAATGCATGTAATTTAGTTACAATATCATAATTCAAAACATTAAGAATTGTGAGTAATCATTTGACAGTTGCAATTGTGAACTCTACAAATTGACTTGTATCTGTAAATACAGAGTTATTTACATATGATACCCAGTTATTATAAATGTCACATTTTACCATCAGATTGCTTGTGTACTTGTTAGCCTGGTATGGTATAAAAAATCTTTTCTTTCTGATTAGTAGCCTGCTTGTATGCTACATTTAGATTTCGTTAAAAAAATAGATGTGCAGAAAAAGGCCCTATCAAGGAACACAGGTACGAGTCAAATGAGACATAGTATGAAGTAGCAATTGAAATTGTAGTCACTCTCTGGTAGTACATACCTACTTAAATGTTAGAAGCGTAGTATACCAATATATTTTTAGTTATCAAATTAATTATAAGTACAGCCAAGTCCAAATTAACCACGTTGGTGCCCCTAAACAATGCATTTCCTAGGTTCCTTCCGCTTGATAAATAGTTATTGAAAAGAGATCACTCATTACTTCTCTTACTCTGCCTCCTAGGCTTACTCTGTGTAACGGTTATTCGGGTCGTCAACACTGTATCCTATTAAATCTTAGTATGACACACACTAAGATTATACTACAACAACAATCCGTATATGAAGTGTAGAAAATATATATAATTTTTATTATCGTAAACTAAAGTAGGTTATCTAACATTACTTAATATATAATTATAATAATCAATGTACATAATTGTTATTATTACGAGTTTGCAATATTTCATAAAGTTCACTTTAATGTATGTATATATTATTCCAATCTCTATAGGTATTTATAATATGATGAATAATACCTATAACATTAGGTAAATGTATTTGTAACCCAAATCAGTACTGGTCATCAGAAGTACTACATTAGCATAGATACTTTTCACCTAAATGTGTAACATATTGTGTATACATACATTTGTATGTTTAATCGTTTATGAAGGACCAAAAAAGAAACGCTCTTTTAGTAATATAGTAAAGATACTTACATTTTAAAAATTGCAATTTAAACTGCTTCATACTTAAACCTATTTCTAAAACACAAAAGAAGGCGTTAGATACTCATTTTAATCTTTGCATACAACTCTAGTAACTTAAAACTTTTGTACACATTATAACCACAGCTAGTGCAACTATATTCGGAACGTCGAGAGAGATAAATAACTTTATTTGCCATTAAATTATTCGTGTTAAAACCCGTTTAACTATATTAATAAGGGGATTTTCATAATTATTAGAACAACAAAACATGCAGTAATGTGCAATTAGATGTATGAATTTTGTCAATATGACTCAATTTAGACATATATGTATATTTAAATTAAGTTATATTTACAAATATGTATTGACTTCCGCTCCTTCAGTGTATTTAATATATCTCTCAGAGTGTATTATATGATATATGATCTGACTTAAATTAGAAATATATCTAAGACAAATTATAGTTAGTATAATACGAGGTACATTATTTTCCAACCCAATTTACTAGATATATTTATTCTATCCAACATCATCCGATACTGTAAGGCTACTTTATCCGTCCGTGTCGTCATTATAATGATGAGCGCAATTAAATTAAACAAAAAGATGTCTCTAAAGGTATATCGTGGGTAGAA